CTATTAGCCATTGCCCAGATAGGCAATAAGGGAAGGGGAGAAGGGAGATTTTTTCATAGAATGAACCTCGATTTTCATTATGTACCTAAATATCCATGGAAAGGTCTAGGTACAAAATGAAGCAACAGAAAAAAGAAGCAAAAACACTTATATACATTTCTAAAAGTACATATACCCCCACCCTTCGGGGAGGGAGGTTGAGTGAAAAAAAAAAAGTGTATATTACTCTACAACTATTGCCCACAGAGGCAATAAGGAAAGGGGAAAGGGGAGATTTTCATACATCCGGACCTCCACATTTCATTGGGTACCTGTATGCTCGAGCAAAGCACTGGGTACAAAACGAAATAACACAGTATAGTAACAAAAACTGTACATACATTTTTAAAAAAGTATATATCCTGCCCTTAGTCCCCTTCCACCCCCCAAAAATTCAAGAAATCTAAACTACTTAAAAAAGTTTCCCCATATAGATAAAAAGGGAAAGGGAAAGAAACTGCTACATGTTATACATCCAGAACCCCATGGTTCATTAGGAACCAACACATCCAAGGGAAGCTCTGGGTCCCCAGCGAAATACCATAAGAAAGAAGTAAAAACATGTACATATATTTATAAAAGTATACACCCCAACACCCATAAAAGAACCCCTAAAACTAACTAATTACTCTCCTAGATATTGGCCACACAGGCAATAGAAGGGAAGGGGATAAGAGGAGACATGTCGCAGACTGAACTTTAAGTTTTCTTCATATATCTACTTAAAGGACAAGGAAAGAAACAAGCTAACAAAAAAGTAGAAAAAGTGTATACATTTAAAAAGTATACGCCCTTACCATGAAATCACTTTCCCCTAGCAAAAAAACCTTAAAAAAACCCCAAACTACTCTAAAAGTATTGCCCACAGAGGCAATGAGGGAAAGGGAAAAGAGGAGATTGTTATACATCCAGAACTCCATGGTTCATTAGGTGCCTTTCAGTCTGGGCGCCCAATGAATTAATACAGTATAATAGTAAAAACGTGTATATACATTAAGTACATTTCCCTGACTCCCCTGCCCCGCTCCCCCCACACCCCACTCTGATAACTACTTTATTAGCTATTGCCCAATAGGCAGCAAGGGACGGGAAGAAGAGGAGATTGTTACACATCTGTACCTCCACATCTCATTAAGTACTTCCATGGCCATGAGAAGGACATAGTATGAAGTGAATTAGGAATACAATGTAGTGGCACGTATATCTATATACATTAAGTACATAGCCCATTTCCTCCCAAAGCCCCAAACCCAAACTACTCTAGTAGGTATTGCCTAAAGAGGCAATAAGGTAAAAAAGAAAAGAGGAGATTTGTAATACACTGAACATTAATTTTCATTAAGTATATATGCATCCATGCAAAGAAGGATGAAAAAAAATATGAAAAAGCAGCATAACATTTATATATACTTGAAAGGATGATATACAACCCCAGCCCCCAAGACTAGATCAAAGCAGCAGCAACTACTAATGCAACTACTCTGTTTTTGTCCACGGAAGCAATAAGGGGAAAAGTAAAGGGGACATTTGTCATACTTCTGGACCTCCACATTTTATCTACATGTCCACAAGAAGGATGAAAGAAATAGAAAAATGAAATGACATTCACAAAATAGCAGCAAAAACATTTGTACACACTTTTACAAGAACATACCCTGATCTCCTCTCAACATTACCAACTCCTTCCAAAAAAGGGAACCAAATAACTACTCTGTAGCTGTTGTTACAGGCAATATGGGAAGGGGAGATGAGATGTCATAGGATGATATATCACTTTTCATCAGGACAAAAATATGCAAAATGAAAGAATATAAAAACCTATCAAACACACACACACACACACATATATATATATACATTTTAAAAGTATATATCACCAACCCCAAACCACTCAAAGAAATCAATCAACTATTCTATTAACTATTGCCCATGTAGGCAATAAGGGAAAGGGAGAAAAGGAGATTTATCATACTTTTGGACCTCCACTTTACATACTTAGCAATGCAGAGAATGAAAGCACAATATAAAAGAATGTGAAAACCAGCAAAAATATATACCTTAGGTTTTAAAAAGACAAACGGGGGTAGGGAGGGGGAAGAATGCTCTTTAAAAAGAGAGTTAATTCCAATAAAAGCAAAAATAATAAAGGCAAAGGTGAGGAGAGCTACATCAAACCTATGACCTTAGTTCTTGGATAGGCCTGTGTAACTAAATCCAGGTCTAGTTTTGCAACTCAGCCTAGGAACTGCTGTCCTTGGGGCTGAGTACACCTTCCTGGCAGCCCTAAGAAACAGGGGGATTGTGTGAGTGTTCAGCAACTGGACTGCAGACTGTGGTTGCAGGTGCTTTAGTTTGAGTAGAATCTTCTGAAAATCTAACTTGATAACAGTCTATCAATAATCCAACAAAGTCAGCACTGAACTTTAATTTCTTACTTCCCAATAGTAAGAAAGGATTCTGTTTGGTACCCAGTAATACCAATGCAGCTTGATTTTCTCTCTATACCCAGGACTCTTCTGACAGCTCTTTTGTTCCTACAGTGGCCCCATAAAATGAAAACATGTATGGCAAAGAAAATTAGAGTTCAGCAGAACCTGTAACAGTAAGGAAGTTCATGAAAAATGAAACAGTGACAAGCAACAAAATTTCATTTAAAGAGACTTAAATAAAATAAGATGGAGGAAGGCACAAGCTTATGGTGGAAGCTGACACTACTTGCAGTTTCATACAGCTGATCACTTCATGTTAACAGAACAAACTGGACTCCTCCGATTCCTATTTTTATGACCTTTCACATCTCCAAAGCATACATTTTTCTTCTACAACTCCAGATTTCCAGTTCTATCTTTTCTAATAATCTCGTAAGTTGTCTTTTTTATATTCAAGTAGACCATCTCTCTGAATGAACAGAATACTGATTCAACAAGTACTTGTGTCATGAATCTGTGTGCTTATATAAAAAAGCATACTATGACTTCTGTGCTTCAATCTGGGTTCTCAGAAATACAGTGGCTAAGATATAGTTTTTGAGGAAAAAAACTTTGAAAGCTACCATCATACTTATTATACTACAAGTTTCACCTCTTATTAAACCTTATATTCCTAAGAGCTAGTTTTTAGAAGTTCCACATAGATGGGGTTACTTTAACATTAAAAATCATGGAATTCTGTGGGAGAAAAACTGACGTGAAGTTTTAGTAACTAAATATAATTAAGGTGAGGGCTACAAATGAAACTACAAATATGGATCTGGTATCATAGCAATGATGGCCTTTGCATGTGAAGACAGCAATGGATCATGAGTCACTTCTTTTTAGCCCATGTTTGGATAAAGTTTTACTTATAACAATACCCCCTTATCCCACACCATATCCAGACACACTCATAGAAAAAAATGATATAATTCAAGACAAAAGATTTGCCATATGCAGAATTAACATATATTCCAAGAGTAATGTCAAGATGGGCAGGCAGAACTAAAGAATCTTAAGCAATTTTGAGGAGTAACAAAATTTAAATTCTGTATCACAATGGAATTCAGTAACATGACATGGTAAAAAAAAATCAGCAACAATAAGCAAAGAACCCTCAAAAGTTTAGCATTTTCCCCTCACTCTAAAAATACAAAAACACCCTAACTTTCAATATTAGCTAAATAACCATTTACCAAAGCACAAGAGGAATAAAGACCTACAATCACCCCAGTTTCAATAAGACATATTTAGATGATTCTGTGATTCTCAGGATATAATATTTTTTACTCTAAAGCAAGAGATAAATGTTTAGAAAAGATTAAATTGGGGGAAATCACACTAGGATTAAAGAAAGCTACATTTTAGCTTGCCAGCCTTTTAAATTTTATTATATAAAAATATTTTCATAAAATAAAATTTAATTTTATACACAATCTCACATATTCTAACTTTACACCTGCTGAATAAAAAAAGGTGACCTTTCCGTTGTCTGACTCTGTGGAGTGTCTTAAGTGCTTGCAAATGGGTAATTACCCTTTTTATGTACATAGAAGCTGTTTTAAAAACAAAATATAAAAGTCTCAACAATTATTAGGAAGAAAGCTTTTCTCCTAAGAATCAAAGAAACAAAACAATCTAGGTATAAGTCTGCATAGCTCAAAAAATTCAAGTACAGTATTTCCCCTTCAGAAGGAGTAAAAATGCCACACAGTTTTGGATATCCTCCCTCATTTTTCTTTCTTTCTTTGACCACTGCTTTTAATGTTAGTTTGACCACAATGAAAGAAAAACAATGATTTTTCAACTAAAGAGAAGTGCTATTTTTGATATGGAAAAAATTCAAAGCCCACCATATCTGATTTCAAGTTCCTGCTATTCCACCTTCTCTTTGTTCCTTTAAGGTACTATGGTGAACTTCAAATAAAAATTTTCAATTTCTCAAAGGCCCTATTTTAAAATATGCTTCTAATATGCTACTCTATCATATAAAATGAAAATCCACACATGGCTAAGATTCAGAGAGAAAGTGTCTATGATCTACGAAACCAAAAGGTAACTTAAATTGTATTCTTAGTAATAGTGATAAAAGTCATGATGAAAAACACCAGTGTTAGCAAAATGCTTGCCACAAACGTAGAAACACTTCTCCATAACATAGGTTATATCTATGACAGGGAGTGCTGAAGGTGTACAGATTTGGGGAATATCAGCATTCATGAGTAACGTAATTATAATTAAAGCTAACTTTGTTTGGAACACTTTCCTATGGTAATGCTATAAAAGATGAAAAAGAAAGTGTTAAATATTTGGAAAATTTAACCTTTTGGCATTGTTATTTAGCTTTTCAATACAACAAAAAATTTTAAAAAATCTGTAGCACCTGGCTATTCTGCAGAAAAAAATACAATAGTTATAGATATTAGACTTTTTTCATAAAATAAAGGATTAATCAAAACCTCAAAGCAAAGTAGATCAGCACACCTGAGATCAGTTCTCTACAGTGCATGCTTTATTGTCTTTGTTACCATACTCTTTGTATCATACTAACTTTGTACCACATTCCAATAACATCTATCAATAAGAAGCAACAAATGGCTGACAAAGCAGCAGCCTGCAAAGATGGTGGCTCTTATGGTAGACCACTCCTTGTTCCACTGTGTTCAGTAACTTTCCGGATACTGAGATATAGAACTGAATTCCCAAACAGATATTTTCCCCCATTTGTACATCTTCAAAATAGAAAAATTGCTCATTGTTTCTGTAGATGGTTGGCATATAAGTGAATACCATTTTGTAATAAATAACTACATACTGCCCAAAGACATTTCAGAAAAGACAGATGAAAAATACAATTGGGCCCTGAGCTAACTAGAACTCCTAAGAGTGCAAACAACTCGGCAGCAATCCTGGCTTTACCTTGGCTTTTGCAAAAGCAGCAGAGACCAAGTTTATAAGCTTTCTGAATGGGCGACAAAACGAGGTGCGGTTGTGCATGCTACAGCCACAACGTCAGGGTTTTTAGGTTCTTCTCCATCCACTGGATATTCAGCTGAATGACTTCCAAAGCCTCCTGCACACAGCGGAGCCGAAAGGTTGCCTCTGACTGACTCTCAAAGAATGCCTGGACCTGTAAGTTCCACACAGAAGCATTTCAGAAGAAGAAAAGGACAATAAACCTCAGGTAACTCTGGCTATCCTTTTCAAATAAGCTGTAACTTAGCGATGGCTGTACTGGTATCTTGAAAGCAGTACAGAGAACAAATACTTTAATATTTAAGGTGTCTACACACAGTTCCCGATTAAGTATGGTGATATCTGAAGTAATTTTTAAAATGAATTCTCTTTAATTCCCATAAGAATACATTTTCCTAACTTACAGTAGAAAAAAGATGTCCAAGTACATACAGCAAGTGAGGTTGAGTCTAAAGTTAGTCTTGGTGCTATAAATTTGCCCTTTGAACAAAATTCTTAAAAACAATTTCATAATTACTTTCATTTTTATTGTTTTAATTTTATACATTTTATTATTTTTATCGGGAATACTGTTGAGATAGAAACCAAAATGTTTCCTTATGACTATATATCCCACTATCTAAAAGTTATCACGGCACAGAATCATTAATATTGATGAAGGAAGACAGAGAGAAGGGACAAGGATTAGCATGAAAAGCCACCACATCACTTACACCGAGCAGCCTGAGGGGAAAAGAGTTACCCAGTCTCCCAACTAGCATTTTATATAACCAACCTCAGATAAATGTGGCTTTGTTGAAAACAGGTGAGTTGATCCAGCGACAATACTTTGTATAGTATAGGACCCCAGATGGAACCTGAAGAAACACAAAAATAAAAGCAAAAAAAAGAGACAGCTGCTGGTGAGAAAAATGCAAAGGAAATGCTTTAGTGTCAAAGGCAGAACGGGGTCCTCCTCCCGGGAAATGCGGCTCACTAAATCAGGCTTAGTCCTACACACACTTACAGCCAGTGAGAGGAAAAGGTGGGGGAAATAGGGAGGAGTTGGGAATATCCAGATAAATGATTAATCCATTTAATCTTCTCAAAGATCAGATCATACACCTAGAAATGTCATTATTGCTTTAAAAGAGAGAAAGAAGAAAAAAAAACCCGACACGTGCTCTCTAGCTGGGTACATGCTCTTAACTGATGCCTTGGCAATGAAGAGGTTCTTTTCAACACACACAACTAAACAGTTATTATGAAATAGTCTGTGTGGCCATGCTGAGCTAAGTGACCTGGTGCAAGGCAAGGCTAAGCTTAGTTAGCACTTGAATAGGACACACTGTTAAGTGACTCATGCTATGGAATTGTGTTTACAAATGTGAAAATTTCTGAATGTTTCAGTGAAACTGTCACAGAAGTTGCTTTCCTCTCACAGCAAATTTTAACTCCTGTGAGCAAACACAACACGGAGAGCCTTTTTCAAATGCAGAGCCCGAGAATACCGAAAGTTAGCAGTTGTCTGAGAAACTTACTTCTGTACAAGCTTATTCCAGTTCTCTTTGACAAAATCCCACGCCAGTAAGTGTCCAGGAAAACGTCGGCCCACTGTTCTAATGATAAAAGACAGCTTCTGTGTTCGGATGATATCTCCATCGAGGCTACTTTTCATTAACCTAAAGAGCAAAGCAGATTAAGCCTCCAAAATAATTATTCACCAAGAAGTGATGACGGAACTTAAATTAGTATTGGTTTCTTAATTAAAGCTCTGTAGCATTTCAAGGAAAATCAGTGTCAGGTTAGCCTAAGATTGATCCTCAGATTGAAAACATGTCATTTTTTTAAACCAACAAGATAGGCATTTGCCTACAATAATAAATAATTTTTGAAATAGTAAGGACATTTACAAAATAAAATCTGGTAGAATTTATTAGAATTCCGGAGACTGGCATTTTTTTCTAATAAAAATCATATTTTAGTAGTCAGGTATATTATATCACTACTCTTAAAGAACTGGACCATTTGAATGATTTGAAAAATGAAGATATATTTCAGAATATACTCTTGTTAATATTATTAATAATAGTGAACATTTATTGATACTATGTACTAGATAATGCTCTAAGTCCTTGACATAACAATGCTATGGAGTAGAATTTATTACCTCTCTCCATTTTATGTTGAAGAAACTGAGGTTATGTAACTGCCCCACAGTTACACAGCTAATAAATACCAAAGCCTAGTATTTGAATATAAGCAGTTCTCATCTACTATGCTATCCTATCTGCTTACAGTGAGAAAACACATACCCCCCAAAAAATGCAGCACTATTTTTAGGGGGGAAAATCCAAATGTCCAATGAAATGTGATGGGCTAACTCAATTATGGTAGAGTCACACTGTGGAATACTATGAAGCCATAGAAACAAATGAAACAGGTTTTATGAAGTGACAAAGCAAATCTCAAAGACTAATCATTCACTAAAAAGGATATCACAGAACAGTCGAGTGTGGTATAAACCTATGTGTAAAAAATGTGGTTAAATACATATATACATATGTACATATCTCTATCCCCACAGGTAAACACACAGAGCAGAGATGACCCTTATTAACAGAGAAGAGAAAATAAGAATGGAAGTGAAGTATCATGAGAGATACTTTTACATTTTACTTCATTTTCTTAGGTATTGTTTGACTACTTTACAATGGAAAATTATTGGTGTATTACTAAGTGTAATTTAAAAACAAACGTTTTTCTCTATTTCTTTAGATAAGAGGCTCTCTACTTCTTTAAAGAAAATGCCTATTTATAGTTTGGAAAGTAGATCTGGGTAGGTGCTGAGGACATTTCTGGGACACTATTAAGATCTACCTGAGCAAAATTACACAAGAGAAACAATGAGACCCACTGGCCCCTCTATCCTTCCTGGTATGACTTTCAACATCTGTGTCCTGCATGCTAGATACTTCACATTCCTGTTGGCTACCTAGAGCTCCTCTACTCCGCCACTGCCTGTTCCTCCTGTCAGGAGGCCCTGTTTACAGCCCTTCTTTCACCCTATGAAACTCACATTTCTGGGCCTTCATCAGCTACATATGAAAAAGGAAAAGGCCGACAAATAAATTCACATGAAGGTAGAACCTATAAGCTTTTACATATTATCTTTTTCTGAAGTGACCGCATTTTCAAAATGACAGCTTGACCAGAGCAACACCTTGGCCAACATACCAAGAGGGGAAGATGTTTTGAGCAGGGAGTAGAAGCAGGTTGTGATTCCTGACATCTCCCAATCTCTTTTGGGCAAAGCATATTCTGCCTATCTGTCAGGGTTCAATCTCTGAGATCAAGCCCAGCTCAGGTGGGCTCCTCACCACACTGCACAAGTCAGGCCTGGCCTATAACAGAACGGTGGAAAAGGGAGCTCTCAAAAATAAAAAAAAATAAAAAAAATGAGCTCCCACCATAGAAGCAGCACAGTGCTTTTATGCTTTTGGTTTCTATATATCACATTCCTCGGGTGGTTGCATACCAGTAAAGTTTCCGTACATCCTCGGAGCTGGCAAGTGCTTCAAGTATTTTGTTCTTCTCTGCCTCAGAGTCTACAGACATGTACTTGCTTAAGAGGAATGACCAGCCTTTCTCAGTTTTTGCTCCCACTTTGAACACAGTAGTCATGACATCAGTAGGTAAGCTGTAAGAGAGGTGGCCAAACATGAGAACAAGAAAAAATTCTGAATACAAAGGTAAGGAGTTGACTAGTGGGAGTGGTCCTGGGGTCAGGGTAGGCAATAATAGCAAAAGTCTTAACTATACAACTCAGAGTCAAGAAAAAGGTTAATTCAGTGACTGCTACTATCCTAGCAGTACAACTATGAAGAACATCAGTTCAATTTAATACAACAATTAATCATGAGGCACTCACAAAAAACCAGGTAGGCAACTGGCTGGATGCTGGGGAAGGGGAGAGGAATGAGACAGTCTCCGCCTTGTAGGAACTCATAGGCTATCACAAAGTTGAGAGCAACACATACACGCACTACAATACAGTGTGGTAAGTTCTGTGGTAGAAATATAGCAGTATACCTGGGGGGCAGTGTGAGAAAAGGGGAAGAAACAGTCCACTGCCTTTATTAATTAAGATCTCAGAGCTGGAAAAGACTCCAAAAGTTATCCGAATCCCCCACCCTACCTCTCCATCTGATGCTTGAATCTTCTCTCCATAATGCCCAGGGAGGAACCTAGAGAGAGCCGATCATCACCCAAAGCATTGCTGCTAACTGCTAACTCTACCTGCTATGTTTTCGTCCTAAATTAAAAGAGACTTGTTTGCCACCTCACACCCATTAGGATGGTTGCTACCAAAAATACAGAAAATAACAAGTGTTGACAAGGATGTGGAGAAATTGCAACGCTTGTGCACCACTGGTGGGAATTTAAATGGTACAGCTGGTATGGAAAATAATATGGCAGCTCCTCAAAAAATTAAAAATAAAAGTTCCATATGATCTAGCATTATCACTTCTAGGCATATATCCAAAATAAATGAAATCAGGGTCTCTAAGAGATATTTGTACACCCATGTTCATGGCAGCATTATTCACAATAGCAAAAAGGTGGACGCAACTCAAAGGTCTATCCATGAATGAATAGGTAAATAAAATGTGGTATATACAAACAATCGAATATTATTCAGCCTTAAAAAAGAAGCAAATTCTGACGCATGCTACAATATGGATGAACGTTGGAGACTTCATGCTAAGTGAAATAAGCCAATCACTAAAAAGACCAATATTATATGATTTCACTTATAAGAGGTGTCTAGTGCAGTTAAACCCACAGGAACAGAAAACAGAATGGTGGGGGGAGGAGGAGGTGGGAAATTGTTAATGGGCACAGAGTTTCAGTTTTGCAAGATGAAACAGTCCTGGAGATTGGTGCACAACGATGCGAATGTGCTTAACACTACTGAACTGTAAACTAAAAAATGTTTGAGATGTTAAATTTTGTGTTATGTGTATTTTACCACAAAAGTCTTGTTTGAGGGCACAGATGCACAGAGTTCACCTATATTAACACCCAGTTTTATGACATTTAAGACCCAGGATGAGAAGATCCTGGTTTCGGTACAGGATGCGAGGTGAAGAGAGAAGGAAAAGCGATTCAGTTGAGTAGAAGTATACCTCACCTTTGAGTTCCGTTGGATGCTACCCAGTCGTCAAACAGCTTCATGGCAGCAGTGTGGCAGTCCCCCAGGCTGTGGGTGCAAGCAAATTCTAGCAAGACTGACCGAAGCTCTCGCGTAGATGGGGTGCCCTCATCAGTCCATGTTTGTTGTTGGATTTGGTTTTGAAGCAATTTAAACACCCTAGCCTAGAGAAACAAAATAGATTATAACAGAGTAGTAATAGTTAGGGCAATCAAAAAAATTAGGACAGTAAGATCTCTTTTCCCCAACATTTACTCAATGAGAAAAAAAGGGGGGGGCATAGATATTACTCATCACATATCAACTGACCACATGAAGCCCACATACAGCTGGGATGAAACCATTCAATAACAAAGGCTATACATAAGGCTGCTATAGCCAAGAAGGACTTTTAATGACATAACTGAGAAAGAATTAATGACTTCTGTGCAGTGGGGAACATTTATGCTGTGTGTACTCAGCTAGAAGTCATTTTCCTGCCAAAAAGTATCACTTATAACCACTGTTGAAAGGAAGTTGGAACTTCCTGACCTTGTGACTGCAGAATCTATAAAACCATAAAGCAGTGGGAAAAAAACCATACTTCTTTACTGATGGGTAATGCTTTAAATGTTTCTGAATCCACTGTTAACAGTATATTTAACATATCAACTAGTTGGGTGCTACAACAAATTAACGAAATTAGCAAGAAAATGAAGCCTATGGGGAAGAATAGTTGTTTACAGTTTATTTCTTCTCCCAAGCTTTAAAAAAATTTTCAAACCTACAAAAAAGATAATGCAATAAACACCCAGATGCTGTTCATCTAGAGTCAACAGTTTTTTAACACTCTTACATTTGCTTTGCTTCTGCCTATGTGTAATGCACATACACACACGACTTGTTTTTTTCTGGTTTTAGCTGAACCATATGATAGTTACAGATATCATTGTATTTCATTTATAAATACTTTAGCATGCAACTCACAGAAATGAGGACATTCTCCCACAGAAGCATAATACCTTATTACACTTAAGAAAATTAAGTTATTCATTAATATCATCTACTATCCAGTGCATTTTTATCGTTTCTCCTGAATGGATGTCACTGGTAAAAGTATACTTGGGGTATCAAGGAACCAACAATTTTTTCATCTTTCTCCACAACAAAAGCATAAAAGCTGGACACAGTATGTGGAAGTATTTCCATTTTACAAGTTGTTATACATGGGGAGGGATGAGGACACATGGGGTTTTAAAAAGCATATAAAAAATGCATTTATAAATGCCACTGGAAGGAACAAAAATTCTAATATAAAAGATGCTTTTAGGAAGTTTTTAGAAAGCCTTCACAGCTATATATAAGGATGATAAAAGTAAAAAAAAATTTTACAGGTGCCCCTTCTACCCAGGGATGTTGGCACAGGAGGATTTCTTCCCCCTGGTCCTCCTTCACCACCACTACTGTCATCACATCTCACCTCAAGTAATCAAGTACCAGAGAGGACCACACAGAAAAACTCTTAATCCCAGAAATTTAGTTCCAAGTTCTTCATAGAGCATTACTTTCTTCCCAAGTACTACTGTTAATACCTAACATGAATCCTACTTGCAGGTCTTTAAACTGTTGAGGCCATTTTCTCTGCAGAGACAAGTAAGTCTCTTGTGGAGCTGAATATAAGAAGGGGAAAAAAAAGAGTCTGTGCAAGGAGAAGGACTCAAAGCTTGTGATGACATGTCAACTCGCTCTTGCCAAAAGCAAAGACATAGAGAACAGACACCTGGTGGCATGTGTGAGGACATGAAGTGGAAAATACTTGCTATGCTGACCAGCAATGCGAGGGACACTAGAGCAATGCAGGAGATCCTGCTGGATACACATGACCGCACTGGCACACGCTGCCTTCCGCCGACCTTCCCTTCCCAATAGCATCACGACTGCAAACCATCCCAAATGATTGAAGAATAAAAGAAATTTAAAAGCTACTCTTAACTGTCAAATGGAAATAAAAGAAGAATGTTAAGAAAAAAAAGTTATAAGTCTGCAATTTTATTTTTAAAAACTCAGTGAAGAAAAAGTGGCAATGCTCATTCGGAGTTTACTAAAACATAAAGAAGTTAGCGGAAAAATTGGCACTTTAAAGTATTAGAAGCAAAGGAAACCTGACACTTGAAGATGCTAAGGCTAATTCCCGAGCAGTTACACCACTGGAATCATAGGGTGCAATTTTGCTAGTTAGTCTCAGTGCCAAATTATTAAGAGAAATTCTAAAAATAGCTGATTTTAAATATATTTCAAATTATAACATAAGAGTAAAAATTTTTATTTAAAAAAAGAATTCTATTTTTAGAAAAATCCTGCTATTACAAAATATGATTTTTATAATTAATTCAGCTTATATTTTTAACATTAATTAATACTAATGAAGTGTAGCACGTGCTTCAAATTATCTTTCCGTTTTAGTAATAAAATGAAAATGTTTTTCTATCGTCCCAAATTAATTTTCTTGAAATTTAAGCTCATTAAACAATAGAATCCAACCCTATGATTTCATAAAGTAAAATGGCAAGTGGAGAGAGAAAATAAATTAATGGGTTATAAAAACTACAAATATTGGCTATGCAATAAAATGCAACACCATCACCACAAAATGATTTTAAAAATAAAGCAGACAGGGAAAGATGCTGGCACTTATATTATGTATTATATTTTGATTTACTGCTTTAATTTTACACTGATATGCCCGGGGAGTTCTTTCCTGGGTCAACTGAGTTTCTTAAAAGTTAAATGTCAGTTTTTATTGCAAAAGGTTTATCCCACCAATGCCTCATATGTAAAAGAATGACAGATTTGTAAGTGATAAAACAGGAATATGGCTAGGATCAGATGTTAACATCAGATGCGAACAATTTAACACAATTCAAATGTGCCTCCAGACCCTGCCCATCACAACACCACAGCATACATCAAAATATTTGGCACACATCATGTGCAGCCTACATAACAAAATGACCAATAAATGTACATAATGCTTTGGTTACAATGACATAAAAATTAATAAGACACCAGTCTTAAGTACTAATATATTTGAATATTGTATCAAAGGACTCAGAAATGTCTGCTATTCCAATTCCTAACTACAGAGTGTCAGATGTCATAGTTTGAGAGTTTTGATGCTATCAGAATGCCTTAATATTAGAATAAGAATTTTTAGGAGACAGGTTCTCCCTCTTGATGAAGTAGAGCTAACTTGGCTTTTAGCTAACAATACAAAGACCTACGGCACTAAAAGGGCCCCTGATCTTAGAAACACATACTAAGCCTCCTGCTCTTGTCTTCTACCCATCAGTCCCCTAGATCCTATCCTGACATATGTTCCTAATAAACACATACCTGCCCAGAAAACTGGAAATCATCCAGGATGAATATGCAGTGAAAGTGGGAAGAAGAGTTACTCGGGCATCAATATGAAAATGCTCCAAAGGTGCAACTCCTTGGACTTTAGCATCTGTATTTGACTTTAGCATCTGAATTTTCAGCACAGGGACAGCTTGAGGTAAGCATCAAGTGCTTCCTGACAACTAAGCCCTAAACAGAGTTAACGAAGTGAGTTGGGGAAGAATGGCTTCTGCCATTATGAAATTTAACTAGCTGGGCAGCTTCAGGGTAGGCAGATATTCTGCTTCCTCTTAGGTATATTTCAGAACCAACACTGCCCTAAGATAGTGAAAAAAGGTGAGATGTACTAATCTTATTGCTACCTGTACTAGGTTGAATAATGTCTCCCTGCCCCCACCCCAAATTTCATGTCTGCCTGCAACCTGTGATTATGGCCTTATTTGGGAATAGGGTCTTTGCAGATGCCATCAAGTTAAGATGAGGTCATACTGAATTACTGAGGTCCTAATCCAATGACTGGTGTCCTCATAAGAGCAGGGAAACTTGGACCCCAAAACACAGGGAAAACATCACATTGACAGAAGTAGAGATTGGAATGATGCATCCGCAAGCCTAGGAAACAAGGACTGCTGGCAACCACCTGAGCTAGGAGAGAGACACGGAACACATTCTTCCTCAGAAGGAAAAAACCCTATCCTGCCATCACCTCGATTTCGGCCTTCTAGCCTCCAGAACTATGAGAGAATAAATTTCTGTTATTTTAAGGCATCAAGTTTGTGAATTTATAATGGCAGCCCTAGGAAATTAATATGCTATCTCACATAGTATTGATATGACACTAATTACGTCCAAAATAAATCTAGAATTAAAAATATACATATGTGATAAAATAAACTGTCACTGAGATAACTGGATAGCATATTGTAAAAAAAGAATCTTGGTGTCTATCTCACACCATACACAAAAATCAATTCCAGATGGATCATAGATCAAAATGTAAAAGGTAAAATAATAAATTTTTTAGAAGAGAACACAGAATATCTGGGGGTAGGCAAATATTTTATATACATTAACATTAAGAATTTACATTAACCAAAAATCTCCATAAGAGAGTAAAAAGCAATACAGAATAGAAGATATTTGTAAATATAACAAAGGATTTATGTGTAGAATATGCACATTTGATTTGACTGCTTATAGATCAATAAGAAAAAGGCAGACAATTAAAATAAGCTAAAGACTTGGGTACTTCACAAAAGAATATCCAATGGTCAATAAACATATCAAAAAGAAATTCATCTTCACTAGTCAGTAGGAAAATGAAAATTAAAGCCAAAATTACAATACTACTATGTACCCATTTGAGTGGCTAAAAGAAAAAAGATTTACTGTCAATAATTAAGTTAACAGCAAGGGTATAGAGCAACTAGAATTCTCATACGGGAGTGTAAATTGGTACAATTTTGAAAAGCTTTGATAGTGCAGCATTAACTATGTAAATGTTATGACTCAATAATTCCATTTCCAGACATGTACCCCAAAGAAATTCATACCAAAGACATGTAAAAGAATATTCATAGCAGTGCTATTCATGATAGCTCCAAACTACAAACACCCAGATGTCCATCAACAGTACCTGAACTAATGCCCCCAAATACTGTAAAAATATAGTTATTAATATTTCAGACATTAAAAGAATCTCATAAGTTGACAGCTTCATTTTCAAGAGAACAACTAGATGTGGGTCTATTATTTAAAGCCTTAAATGCATGGCCTATAAGCTTTTCAAGCTGTTTTAATATAAAAAGTCTCAGTATTAAAAAGAAAAAAAAAACGGTATCAAGAAAGCAAGCTTTAATTTTTCCAACACAAAGAATGCTGCAAAGATGATATTGCTAGAACACTAATATGGCAACATAAGACAAAGAGTAGGCTTTCAAGTAAAACTAATCTGGGTTTGACTCTTAGCTTTATAATTTACTAGGTAAGTGATGTTGGAAAAGTCATTCAGTCTTCTCATTTATCTAATGGAGGTAGAAATATCTATTTTGGCATTGTGTGAAGATTAAATGAGGTAATCTACACTAAGCACTAACCACAATGTATAGGATATAATAAGCACTCAAATGCAATTGTTTCTGATGTGTTTCACTCATTTATTCATTCAACATTTACTGAGTATCAATCACTATGGGCCAGGTCATGTTTCAGGCACTGGTTTTTATTAAGCCTGCTAGTTGAAAGCCTTATGAAATAGAAAATAATAAAAATATTAACCATTATAAGAGAGCTCAGAAATCATCTAACTTAAGCATCTCACTCATGGGTAGAGAGGGCACACCTCCTTTGGGTCAGTGCAGAAACTGGTGGGGAAGGGTACTCTTCAAGCTCCATATGGCCAATCTGTGCTGTATCCCTTCCTCCACTAAAAACCATGTATGTGATGAGAGAACTAATCACAAGAGATGCACAGTAGAATAATAATGGAGGCAGAAAGGAGGTTATTTTTTTTTTAAAACGACTTAATCGAGACCTTCCCTTTTACTAGTGAGGATACCCAAACCCCCAAAAACTTACTCTAATTTCTGGTCCAATACTTTCTTCCTTTTTCTGAAAGCTGCCTTTTGCCTGGGTCCCTGAAAAACCTGACTAGTATTTATAATGCAAACTCTTTTGTCAGAATGTGCTGATTCAGAAAATTAGATAAAATGAAGAATTTTTCACTCTATCAAAGTTTTTAAAGACTCAGTCAATAGTTTAGTACTGAATGTATCTAAAATAACAAGATACTATTCAGATCAGGCAATTGGTTTTAAGACAGGTAAAACAGTCTCCAATACTAAGACTCCTTGAATGCTTTGCAGAGAAACTTAAATCCACCAGCATCATTATCATCCATTAGATGCCCATCAGCAAGAGCTCCTAAACAGAATATTCTCAATACAAACTAACTTAAATTTTACGACCACTGGAAAATTAATGCGGAGATCTATTTTGCAAAAGGTCCTATTTCAAGTATTTATTATATAAAAACAGAAATTGAATAGAGAAATATTGTTTTCATGTGACCCCATTTTGATAGCAGTGCCAAAAGTCTATATTTTGATATTCAAACAAGACCATATCACACTAAGCCTTTATCAACTCTTCATGGTAGGCAGTGACATTTTGATTCAAAGGTTTCACAACCAGGAAAGTAAAGAAAATAGAATTTAACTGGTTGGTTTTTCAGCTCATTACTGGCTGAATGGAACCACGGATGACAATATTAAAGGCAAGAAACAAGAGAAGCTGGCAAAAAGGCAGACTTACTATCAGTCTTGAGGCTAGATCCATGTATCCCAGTTTTTCAAGGAGGTTATAGATGAGGCCTGTTTGGAACAGAGCTTCAGTGATGGGTGCAGTATGGTTTTCATTTCCAAGATAATCAATCAAATCAAAGGCCCTCCGGAGATGTACCTTGCCTAGGCTAAAGGATAAAAGAACAGGAAAAGTAAATATGCAGACACACAGAACTTATGCATGCTGAGAGTGAAACTTTATGGGTAGATGGCAAGTCTTGGAAACCGAAAATTTAAACTTAGCGTAGCATTCTGTAAAGTTAGACTAAATATTATTTTTGATTAAGTTCACGTGACCCAAGGTAAAAGATGCATTTCAGGAGAAAGATAAACCTCAACAATAGCTTGTTTTTATTCTTTAAGTCTTCTGTAAATTGCTACTGGCTCAGCAAAAGTCTTGCAATCTCTTGGGTGAGAAAAGATGAAAGTACTAATTTTATTTACTAATTGCTTAAATTTACCAGGGGAGAAGGGTGTAGCATAGAGAGTATCTGAATCAGAAAAACAAATCGTTGGTTGTGTTGGAATTTGTTTGTCAAATTTGTTAAGGCAAAGTCTATTGTGAATTTGTACTGGGTATGTTTAAATTAACCATTTAAAGAAATAACGACAGTGATGGCTGGTCACTTCATAGAAAATGAACCAAAATGATAAGGTCAAGAGTGGTCAGAAGGAATACGCTTGAGTATTTCTTGTGTTTCTAAGCCTATTACTGATCCACGTGGTAATACTCTATTCGGATTATATCTTTACACAAGGTCACTGCCGTTCTCAACTTTGGGATTCTGTAAGACGTGAAGTGGTTGGGGAGGCAAGCAGTACACAGATAAGGAGGCTCCCGCTATCAGAGACGTGACCTTAAAACCAACAGGTAAGCATAAAACTTTATGCTTAAACCGGCTGCTGCTTGAAAAAAATTTTCTTGCGAAATAAAATAATGCCTGAACTCCTAAATCAATTTATTCAGCAAAATCCGTGTCCCATTTTTTGGTATCTAGTCTCGAATTGTTATTAAATGTCTTGTTTTATGTAATTTAACTGTTCAATATGTTTGTAGCTGATGTTTCTAAATAAGATTATAAAGTCCCTGGAGGCAAAGAACATGTCTTATATTTTCCCAGTCCTCCAAAATGAATTGTGCCAACACATGCTTGTTCTTTCAAACTGTTTTTCATAAATGTTCTTTACCTCAATAGACCTGTTTAAAACAAAACAACACAAATCAAACCCAAGCCAAGTATACTCTACCCTGCAAGTTCAAAGATGTTGTTGATAAGGTTGGCTCGGTCCCTGTCACTCAGAACATAAGGGTTTATTTTCAACTGTTTGATTAGTGCTTCCCAGTCATCATCTGCATAATGTACAATATAATAGCCATCCATGTTTATGTTGACTTTGACCCACTGCACTTCTTCTGTAAGACTGATGACACCTAATAGAGACCAAAAAACGAGAGAGGACAACAGGGTAAGAAAAAAAGTTAAATGAATGCTTTGTTAGATCCAAAGTTAATATGGTTTATATTTGATCATTCTGGTAAGAAACTAAATGCCTGCCTCCCACTGCAGTTATTTTCATGTCAGTAAAGGTCACCACATTCACTTAACAATTATTTATGTATTATGCATCATTGGCTTTAGGCTAAGCACTGGAAATCAAATGGTGAACAAAGCAGATATATCTCTGCTTTTATGGATCTCACAGTCTAAAGTAACCAGGCAAGCATAATATCATTAAGTGCTATTGATAGAGAAAGAAAATATAGTATTGAATGGAAGTACATGGAAGAAATGCTTTATTCCCTGACGAAGGTCAGGCTTCTTGAAAGAAATGACAGCTTTTTTCTTTTTTTTTTCATTGTTATATTTTTACTCTAACTCTTTGGGCTCAAGTCATCCTCCTGCCTCAGCCTCCCAAGTAGTTGGAACTACTACTAAGTTGTCATTATTCCAAGAGACCTCAGGACATTTAGGTGTTAGCTATGTGAGGAAGGTACAGTAGAGACCTCAAGTGCTCAAGGCCCAGAGGAAAAGTGTACGTGGTACCCGTGCACTGAACTGGCTGCTCCTAGTTCAGTGGGAGGTTCCTTATGGCTGGAGAAGAGAAGGCGGGAGAAAGGGAAAGTGTGTGTAGGATGGGGCAGCAGGGAAAAACAGGGAGAGAACTATATATAATGTGTTCCATCTCAGTTTATGTCATTCATTATGTTAGCAAAGGAAGAACAAACAAAGCCATTTGGAAAAGTCACATAATTCGAAGCTAGCAAAATAAGCAGTAGGGAAGGCTTATGATTTCATTAGGAACAAATAAGAAATAACTGAGTTAAAGTAATAGAAAAGTGACATGTACTTTTCAGATCCCTACCATTACATATATAAATGCTGAGAGAATTATGGAATTATTTCAACTAATGCCCAAAACATAAAGAACTATCTGACTATAAAATACACATATGAATTTTAGAAATTCTCAGAATTACTAATCAAGAAATGTCCTTCAAAGTTGGTGACAGGAATGTGGATTTAATATAATAGGGGTATGCTTCTAAGCATCTTGAGGTTTATTATTTATTAGAATATAAGCTCCATGAGCTTACTATTTTGCTCACTGATAAAGCCTCAGCCCCTAGAACAATGTACCTAGCAGGTGCCCAAAAAATACTTGTTGAATTAGTGAATAAGTGAACAAATAAAAGACTATGTCATGGAAGATAGTTTAAAATGAAATCCAAATAAAGGTTACAGATAGTTATGTTTCTCCCCCCATTTTATTATTATTATTTTTTTAAAATATGGAACGCTTCACGAATTTGCGTGTCATCCTTGCGCAGGGGCCATGCTAATCTTCTCTGTATCGTTCCAATTTTAGTATATGTGCTGCCGAAGCGAGCACATCTCCCCCCATTTTAAATTAATGAATCCTTTTTGCAGTTTTAGAATTATAAGAAAAAGAATAAAGAAAAATAATCTAATCTCAGACAACGTTAGCATTTTGCGGTATATTTCCTGCCAAGATTTTTATTGTACATGTTTTAATAGATTTAATATTTCATATAGAAGATCTATATGTATTTTAATCTTTTCTCATCTGTAAGTTTCCCCCCAACATTTTTCCATTGTCTTATATGCAGTGTTCAAATATCTTCATAATATTCTATTTCAAGATCTATCACAGTTTAACCATAGTTTCCTATTTTGAAACATTTAGGCTATTTAAATATGTTCACTATCATAATAATTACATGCTGAAGTTTTTTGTATAGTAAATGTCTTAGAAACATGTTTTAAGCCCAAGGGGGTTATATATTAGTACAGTGTGTCAATCTCAAAAGCATGAATTATTCAAAAATATCAGATTCTCTTAATATCTTTGTTATTCTAATTCTATTGGTACTGCAAAAGATGTTTAAAATGAAAAGACATTCTGCTCACGTCTAAACAGGACATATAAGCTAATGAGCTAATAATTCTTTTTTTTTTTTTTTTTTAGGTGGGGGGAGACAGAGGAGTCTTACTCTGTTGCCTGGCTAGAGTATAGGGGCATCATCATAGCTCACTGCAACCTCAAACTCCTGGGCTCAAGTGATCCTCCTGACTCAGCTTCCCATATAGCTGGAACTATAAGTGCATACCACCATGCCTGGCTAATTTTTTCTGTTTTTAGTAGAGATAGGATCTTGCTCTTGCTCAAGCTGGTCTTGAACTCTTGAGCTCAAGTGATCTTCCCACCTTGGCCTTCCAGAGTGCTAGGATTATAGGTGTGAGCCAGCGTGCCTGGCCAAGCTGATAATTTTCATTAAAAAATTACATACTGATTTCTGTTATATTGTTGATATAGCAACAAATGGGAAAGACCAATTATATAGGGCTTATTCCTTTTTCTGGGGCAGAATACAGCTTTAAGGAATATATGTGACAGCAACAGTTCCTGCTCCAAGCTGGAGCCATTTTTAACAAACCTATGACTAATGAAATTAACTTTATCATTAGCTAATTCAAAAATGTCAACACTCTCCACATCACCAAACACAATTTCCTACAGAGCTTTTATCAAGAAAGGACCTTGTGAAGAAAGGCTACAGAGCACCAAGTCTCCCTTGCCTAAAAAAGGAAACAAGGAATGCTAAATATGGCAATTGGTCCACAGGATGGGTGCAGAAAAATATTGAAATACAGAGTATCTTGGCTGATAAGCAACTTGGCATCTTGTTAACCCAGCCAAGTCCAGATAGTAGAGAGGGGAGTTGCAGCTGTGAGTGTACATGAAATTATTACTGTCATCAAGACGACGGACATAAAGCAGTGCAGCCAATAGCACAAAGAAAGAGACTTACCATTTAAAAATTCAACATGTTAGCCTCTTTCAGGTTTTTTGAATGATCAGATGGAGGACCTTAAAACCACAGGTATCAAAAAAACAATAGCTTTACACACAAGGGAGGTAACTACATCCTGCAGTTCAAATGTGGATGAGACTAGCCTCATATGTTTTTAATTTATTATAATCATTAACAGATTAACGGTTCAATTTTCACAGTCCATTAAATAGTAAAAAAGAGAGAGCAACTCCAATCTAACATGTCAAAAGCCCAGATGAAGTAATCTAATAGTGATTTTAAAGAAACATTTGTCAATGAGCTATGAAAATCAACTACTGTTTTACAAAGAAACTTTAAAGTACTCCAACAAAAAACATGTTTTTACTACAAAGTTACAAAACTTCTTGTCCAGTTTGCTCTAGAGGACTAGAATGATACATGCAGTTGAACTGCATACCCCTTTGTTCAACGGATTCCCTTTTCCAATGCCCCTTTCTTCCTCCTTTATTTTATTAGGGGGAAAAAAGCAAGAGCTGAGAATGGCACATGATAAATATTTTAATTACTGCATGCCTCTCCTTCTTTCTTTCCAATTGCCTTTCTCTCCAATGATCTGTCTTTTAGTTTCACAACAATGTTTCTGGTACATCAATATCCTTTCAGAAACATAAATGTTTTAAGTTAGATTTAATATGAAAATCTCCTATAGTAAAAGATCATAGGTCTAAGTAAGATGTGGATAAAAGAGATGGGGGAGGAAGAAAGGAAGAGGGAAACTTTTTAAGGTATAATTCTCTCAATATGCGGCCTGGAAAAATGGCCCATTCCAGCTTTTCTTATGCACAACAAATATTAATTGTTCAAAATTCCTGTATGTAAAAAAAATATTCATGTATGTGAGGAAAACTGACAAAGATATTGACTAAATATAACTCCTAAATATGACTGAACTAATGGACTATCTCAGCAATCCTGGAATTAGAACACATGAAAATATACTATAGATTTAACAAACCATCAAGCATCAAGATAATACACAGCACTAAAGTCAAATGTCATAAAAATATGCCTGAAGTCACCCTCTTTGCTATATTTTTTTTGGGAACAGAAAAATTGAAAATGTAATTAAAATAATGGTAATTCTCACTGGAGGAGCATTAGGAACCAAGAAGACTCTACTATCTTCAGGGCCATTTTTTGTAAGGACAGAACGTTTTCAATGTGGACTCAAAACCTGAACTGGCAGGAATTAAAGCAGCAGCAGCAGCAGCAGCAGCAAGGGAAATAACACAGTTGAGAAGAGGAAGTAACAGACATGCTTTCATCATATATTGGCCCAGTTCCAGCTCTAGAGTAAACCAATTATATTATAGTGCATTTTGCATATTACCTTTTACTAAGAATCTTTTCAAATGAAGGGCAATAGAAGATACCATTTCATCAGCCTTTGCATGTTCTTTTCCTAGAGTTTTTTGTAGTGATATTTGAAATTGAGTCACTTTATTATAGACTAACATTTATTCATTCAATAAAGTTTTTGTGTGCCTACTGAGTGCTAAGTTTACAAAAGTGATTCATATAGCCATTATCCCTACCCTCAATGGGGGATATATCTAATTTGGGGACAGATATAAGTGCAACAGTACTTAATATCACAAGTGGAGAAGTAGAGAATGTTATTAAAAAATATAAGTAGGCCATCTATCCTGTCTTGGGGGGAGGGAAGGCTTCTTGGAACAAGCAATGGCTGAGCTAAGTTCTAAAGAATGAATAGGAGTAGATCAAGGAAGTGGGGAGACAAGGGTGTTCTCCAAGGAGAAGAAACAACGAATGCAAAGGCCCAGAGACAAGAGGCAGTGTGGCATGTTGGAGCTGCTGAAAGAATTTTTGCACTGTGAACACACAGAATGCCAGGTAAGGGCTAAGAAGGCTAACGTAGGAAAATACAAGTTAGTCTATGGGGTTAAACTCTTGAAAAGAGTTTTAAAAGCTCACATGTAAACTGACCTAAAAAGAGATAATAAAAGCAGGTTTCTTATTGTCCAATTATTTCTAATATCATCAAAAATTAATTTACTATCAGGAGTTTTATAAAATTTCCTTACTGGTTTCTTTCAAATGTTTCAGTCATGCTTTGCCTGTGCTGCAGTATATGGGGAGCTGGAGTTAGTTGTTCTCTTTTGTATCAGAGACTATCCTTCCAGGGCCCACTTAAGGTTTAGAGCTTTGTTTCATCAAGAAAACAGTGATTCCTTGCACCTCTAGTTATGCTATCAAAGATCTGATGACATCGACTGCTCCTAGGACTTAAATAATGAGATTGCTGCTGTTTCTGTAACACTCCACTGTGGTAAAACTACAATGAAACTGGCACCTTCATATATTCCAGGCAGCATTATCAACCATTACCACACACTAGGAGGGCAATTTATTTCTATGGATCAAATCACAAAAGGTAATACAGTTTTCATTTTTGAGAAGCATTCCTAAGAAAAAGTTCATACAGTGAAAAAACATTTAAGACCCCAGATTTTTACTGAGGCATTTTTTCTTATAAAGACAAATGGCAAAGCAAGTGTCTAACAGTAAGGGAAGGTTAAAAAAATTATCGTACATGTTACGTTTAAAAAGAAGATGGCAAGAGCCAGGAACAGTGGTACATGCCTGTAATCCCAGCTACTCAGGAGTTTGAGGACAGCCTGGGCAAAATAGCAAGACCCTATCTCTAAAATAAATAAATAAATAATTGAAAAAAGAAAGGCAAGATACAGAAATTACTTGTATACAATGATTTCAACTAAGTAAAAAATATTTATTAAAAACTAACTAAAGGCCGGGCGCGGTGGCTCACGCCTGTAATCCTAGCACTCTGGGAGGCTGAAGAGGGCGGATTGCTCGAGGTCAGGAGTTCGAAACCAGCCTGAGCAAGAGCGAGACCCCGTCTCTACTATAAATAGAAAGAAATTAATTGGCCAACTAATATATATAGAAAAAATTAGCCGGGCATGGTGGCTCATGCCTGTAGTCCCAGCTACTCGGGAGACTGAGGCAGCAGGATTGCTTGAGCCCAGGAGTTTGAGGTTGCTGTGAGCTAGGCTGACGAGAGGGCACTCACTCTAGCCTGGGGAACAAAGCGAGACTCTGTCTCAAAAAAAAACCAAAAAAAAAAAAGAAAAAAAAACTAACTAGAAATAAATAATCAAGACCCATTTGTTCTTTAAAGATGTATTAATATTTAAAGGATATGTGGTGTGGCAGTCACAGTGGTACTTACCAAATAAATGGCCAGAAACTATATTTTGACTTCTTTTCATAGGCATCTTGCAGGTCAACATGTACAACCTTTACATTTTATTATTGCCCCTCCTCCTTGCTGTCTTATTTTTTGGTCTATTTTCTTATTACCAAAAAACATATACTATGTCTGAAGGACATATTGTAATAACTATTTACTTGAAATCTAGGTCAGGAATCAACCTTTATTATGCATAAGAATCATCAAAGGTGCTTGTTAAAATGTAGTTGCCCCAGCCCAACCCTGGAAGATAGCAGAGGATACATTAAGAAACGGCTCTACTCTATTACTTCTTACTTTGTTACATAAAATACTTATCTAGGACATAAAAACACAGATATTTGTTATGTTCTACTGCCAGCACATTTCCTGTAACTTTTTGTACCTTATTTCACATGACTAAGGGCCAATTTTGCACATGACACATAGAATCAATCTCATTTTAGTCACATCTATACATGTGATTCATAAAGCCAGTTCACAGAGTGTGCACACTGAAAAGCGTAATCTCCTATCTGCTCTGTGGTTGTATTTTTAATATCATGCCATTTCCAATTCCTTAGCAGAAAGGTGTTAATCACAGTCAAACCTGATTTCTTGTCCAGTAATGACACTGACTGATATTTTGAAGAATTTCTTCCTTCAGTGACATAGGATAGTGGAATATGCCACAGATAGCTGTGAAAAGAAAATATTAAAAAAAAATTACTATTCTTTTCAATATTCCAGTTAGTTACACAAGATTTGTTGGGTCTTTTGGCAGGGGGTGGGGAGGGGCAGGTGGGCAGGATGGTGGAATTTTTCAAGCGATTCTCAGAAAGGGATAATCTTGCTAGGTTTCATAAGAACTTATAATTTAAAAACACTTAAAAATACTTCAACCCGAGTATATAAAAGAGAAGGTGTGGAAAGAAAGAGGGCATGTACCTTGCATCTGAAGGCTGAATTTCAGGCTTCATATTTAAAAAGAATCTCTCTTGTTGTACAGAAAGTTCCTTTCCTTTTCTTTGAACAGTCACTAAAGGAAATCCTTTCTGCAGGGTCCAGGTTTTCATCATTTTCTTTACATCTAGCGTTTTGTTTGTGACCTACAAAAAAGAGAATAAATTATTTTTGCTTAAAGATAAAAATCAGTTAAAAAAATTTCCCAGTCTAATTTGTCTGTAGCACTCTTCTCTTTCCCTACCAAATTCTATGAAGACTGTGTTTAATGTTAATATGAAAAAGAAGCAGATGGGTGTGGTGGCTCACACCTGTTATCCCAGCACTTTGGGAGATTGAGGCAAGAGGATCACTTGAGCCCTAGGATTTTGAGGTTGGAGTGAGCTATGACCATGCCACTGCACTCTGCCTGGGCAACAGAGCAAGATCCTATCTAAAAAAAACCACCAAAAACAAAAAAAGCAGCATAAAAGCACAAATGTTGAGTTTACATTTCCAATCAAGGTAAATGAGCAACTGCTGAAAGGAAAGTAACTTGAACAGACCTAAATGATAAATAAGGGAGTGAAAGAGCCACTATGTTGAAAAGTAGCACATATATTAACAAACTGGGAGTTCATTAAGATTAAAATTCTGAAATTTATTAAGATTAAAATCCCTAAGAAAGTATGAATATAATTTCAAGCTGCAATACTACCATTTAGAAGATATGAGCAATGATATATAGTCTAGAATCAGAAGCATTGCTACTCAATCCTGTGAATCACCTACGTCCAGGTTTCTCTTTATTCTCTTATCCTTTACCTTCATAAATGTTAGTCTTTTAAGACCTAATACTGTGGGAAAACCAGGGAGCAGCAGCCTAGCAGAGAGTGAAATACAAACAGATCAGTTACCTTGACCTTAAGTCTTTCTAGAAAACAGTGGTAAATGTTTTTAATGGTCACAGACCTTCTTTCTCAGAAAATACATGAACTTATCTACAAAATTTAGAATCTAGTGTCAGAGGTTCACAGATCCTCTAAAGCCCACAGCCCCTAAGACATCTGGTATCAATTAGTAAGAAGCAATTTTTGAACAACTGTTTCTTTAAAGCATGTAGATTGAACTTGTGATTCAAATTATTTTTCTAGATTACATATGGATTGGAATTGCAAGCAACTAAGTCATCATGTACCCAAATTGGTAGTAACACTCCTCCACGGCAGGTCTTACCTCAATCATCATATGTCTATTTATTTAAAGCAAAAGAATGGAGCAAATTGTCCCAAATTCATTGTAACATTAATTTTATATTTCTCATGGCTCTGACATATTTATTTCTGGACCAGACGCTGGAAAGAAAATAGGCTTGTCCCAAAGCAAGGAGCTTTTGGGTGTCTGAAGCAGAACTCAAAGGAGCAAGTGCATAATATAATGCACTTGTGTTAATGCAATGTGGATGCTGAAAAACCTGAGGATAATGTTGGGGACTAGGTTGGAACAGGAAAACACCATGATACAAAAGTTGTAGTAAGTAAGGAATGCAGAAATATGTTCTAAATGCCAAGAGATAAAGCAATCAGCAAAAAGTAAATAATAGCTTTCAACTGAAATGCTACTGTGTGATCAGAGAAAAAAACAATGATCTAGAAGCAACTGTTAGATAATAAAGACTGACCCCTCTTCTCAAAGAAAACTCAGAGAGTAGGGAAGGTATATCTTCTGTGCAAAGGGTTAACAGCTAGAAAATACCAGGATTCAGATAAGGCAAGGAAGCAGAAAGAGTACATGAAAGAGGTCTAGAGCAGGGGTTCTTCACCCAGCATCAGTAAAACTTTGAAACTGTGTGTGATGTTTTGCTTGCACATATGTGGTTTTTCTCGGGAATATGGCCAGACCTTTCATCAAATTTTCAAATATGGCTGTGATTTTCCAAAGCATTAAAGAACCATCAGTCTAGATCAGGGTAACAAACTCAAATGCTGATAAGGGTTGAGCAGTCAGCCTACATGCATGAGGCAGGCTGGCTTTATGCATTGCTTTGAACCATGACTTCTACCTAATTACAGTGCTTGTTAGAATATTTGCAAGCATGACAAAATCCTAACAATAAAATGACCTAAGGGCAATATGAGATTCATGGAAGTCAGCTTGTGATATATCATTTACTCTAGATGAACATGGCCACAAAAAACCAGAGATTCATAGAGCAGGGTATAGAATCATGAATGGGAGGTAGAAAACTAGACAAGGATAAAAACAGGAAAAGAGATTTTTGAAAAAAAAAATCAAATAATGAAAATACAGTAATATCCATCAATACAGAGAAGACAACTTTCCTACAAAATAGGAATGGAGATTAAGGTACAAAATAAAAATGTCTACCAGGCCACACACATATTTTTCAACAAATAAGGATAGTACTCACATTTCTTGACATTAAATCCAGTGCTCTATTCATAAATATTTATGTACTAAGTTCCATCCCCCTCTTAAATAACTGTTGTCATACATGATAAAACCTTTTTACATACATGATAAAAATATAAACCTTTTTACATACATGATAAAAATAAAAACAGAAGAACCCCTCTCCTCCTTCTGTAAGAGCTAAATAAATTATACAGGTTGCTTACCTCATTGAAGCTATCCCACAGATCATCGCTTTGAATAGATGCATAGCTGTGATTATGCAGGTAAAGAACAATAGCATGTTGAAATACATCTTCACTAAGGTAAGTTTTCAGCATCAACAAGAGAGAAGCTCCCTAGTCCAAAAAAAAAGAAAGTGAGAAAAAAGGTAGAAAATAACAGAATACTGCTGTAGGTTATCAAATTGAGAATCTAAAATTCAAAATACCATTCTAAACATACACATTCATATATAGAACTTAGTTATAATACACTGTTTGTCATTGGTCTCAAATAACTATTTGTGGACTATGTTCAAATTGTCCTAAAGTTATTTTAATGGATTTGAAAAAGAATGGAGTAGATTCCCAAAGGCCCCAATACTACCACATAAGCCGTTTTGCGTGATCTATCAGTGTACTCAATGTTTCAGTGTTAGTGCTAAAAAGCTAAGTATTCATAAATATATTTTAATAGAAAAACATGCCAAATATTCTGTGGCATCCCCACCTCCAACCCCAGTGATTAAAGTACCAGGTGAATTCATGACATCCACTCCTAGAGACACAAGAAACTGGCAGAGCTCTCAGAAGTCTTTTTGCTAGGTACCGTGTTTCTCTGAAAATAAACCCTACCCATAAAATAAGCCCTAGCAGGATTTCTAAGTATTTGCATAATATAAGCCCTACCCCAAAAACAAGACCTAGTGATGGGCTTGGCTACGCAGCGTATCTGCACAACCCATGCATTTCATTGCAGAGTGGTAAAGAAGACAAGCAGCCCTTCTCTTCTGCCCCATGAAAGCTCTATTGCTTGACATGAGAGATTGGGGCCAATGGTTCTAAAGGAAATAGAGTCGCAAGAAATTCAGGATGGAATTCGGGGTTTGGAGAGTTATGATGATGTTCCAGAAGACAATGACTTAAATATATTTGAATAAATGTAGATTGTTGTACCGTACTTAAAAAAAAAAAACACATCCCCTGAAAATAAGCCCTAGGGTGTCTTCTTGAGGAAAAATATATATAAGACCCTGTCTCATTTTTGGGGAAACACAATAATACCATTAATTTCTAATTTTAGTATATCACATTGTGATGTAACCAAGATCTCTCTTCTTCTTGCAAAGTCACTGCAAAATGTATGTAACTAACAAATGTATAGGGCAGCGAACATACACTAACTCACCATCTGCTACACCAGCCCTAAGGCCACACTACATTTACTCAAGTACATGTCATTATTCCCAGTCTCAAAACAACCACCTCCCCAGTGAAGCCTTTCCTGATTCAAAAATCCAATCATATTTCTCCATCTTCTATAGCAATTTGCATTTCTTCCTGTATCTACTATATATTTATTTCCTCTTCTACGCTGTATGCTTAGTTGAGGGGAAAAAATGAAAGTACTACACAGTAGGCACTCGAGTAGTTTTTGAATGAATTTCACTTCTGATAAAAATGCAACAATGTTAAGTCATCAAGATTATCAGTACATATAATTATCTTTTACTCTCATGTTTCTATATGACACACACAGCTATTATTTGCTCTATAAATTTAAGTACTTATTCTAGTTCCCAACACTTCCACCTCCTTTCCTGTATCACCAACTTTTCCTCCGTACTGTAACATTCCCATTAACAAAAACTATGTAACATTCCTAATTTTAAAGAAATAAAAGGATTCCTACCTTTCCTTCACTCCGCACCTCCAGTTACCATGCTATTTTTTGCTCCCCCTTTGTAGTAAGACTCCTCAAAAGAGTTGTCTACATTTGCCATCTCCATTTGCTCTCTTTCCATTTTCTTTTAGGCCATCTCCTAATCATTACTCCCTTGGAAGTAATTCTTATACAGGTCCCTGGTGAACTTCCTGGTGCCAAACCAATTTGACTTCTCAGGCTCACCTACTTTATCATTACTGGTAGCATCTAATATGACTGGCTATCCTCTCCTCCTTTCAAGTTTTTATGCCTTGGGCCTCGGGACACCATTCTTGATGCTCCCCCTACTCACTGGCCAGCCCTCTGAGTCTCTTTTTGCCGGCTCCTCCTCATCTTCCCAGTGAGAGAAGTGTGCCCTGGCATTTGCCCTTTGGACCTCTTTTGTTATCTATCTAAAGTTACTTTCTAGTTGATCTCCTCAACTCCAGAGGTTTTCAATGACTCCCTAATTTATATATCTAACCAGACTTCCCCTCTGAATTCCAGACTCAAATCCAACTGCCTGCTTAATATAGCCACTTGGATGTCTAATGCACATCTCATACTTACTCACAAACTGAACTTCTTTTCTTCTTGCCCCAAATCTATTCTTCCAGCAGCTTCTTGATTTCAGCAAATGCCAACTCCATTTTCCAAGTTGTTTAGGCAACAATCTTGAAGTTACCCTTGATGCTTTTCTTACATTCCACATCCAATCCATCAGCAAATTCTACTGGATCCACCTTTACAATATATTCCATATCTCACCACCCTAATCTAGGCCACCATTACCTCACCACCCATTTATTACAACTTCCTAATTAGTCACCCTGACTCCATGTGCTGTTGAAGATTACAGTGATCTTTTACAAAATAAGTCAAATAAGCCAAAATACCATACCATGGTACTGATCAAATAGCTTCTCATTTCACTTAGAATAAAATGAAGGTCCTTACAATGCCATAATAAACCCTACAATGTCCTGGCCTCTTAGAATCTCTCTGACTTCAACTACTACTTGGCCCTCTATTTAGTTTACTACAGATACATTGGCTTATTGCTGGTGCTTGAACATGCAAAGCAATCTCATATATCAAGCTGTGCAGGATCTTTAAGGCCATCCCAGGTTTGATGATGCACTAGGAGGACTCACAAGACTCAGCATATAGTCAGACTCACTGCTGTGATTTATTAAGATGAAAAGATACAAGTAAAATCAGCTAAGAAAAAGGGCATACAGGGCAAAGTCCAGAGGAAACCAGGCATGAGCTTTTAGGAGTCTCAGGGTTTTTACTGGTGGTAAGTCATGGAGGTACCCTCTGCCTAGTACATACCAAAATTCCAGACTCCCAGAAGGAAAGCAGATGTCCAGCATAAACTAAATTGTATAATTTAGGCACAGTGAGCCACTCTTATCATGGAATGGTGGCAACGCTTTCCAAATCCTAGTTCCCAGATGCCAGCCAAAGGCCAAGCAAAGCCTTGCAAGCAGGCCTTTCAAAGGACAGCAGTCTCAGGTCTGCCACATTAACTCTTTTCTGCATACAAGCTCTATATATTGGTTATTTCTTCTGCCCAGAGCATTATTCTCCCAGAAAACCACAAGCCTCATTCTTCAGATGGTGTTCAAATGTCACCTTACAAGTAGTCTTCCCTGACCATGGTACATAAAACAGCATTTCCTTTGTCACTCTCATTTCCCTTACCATGCATTATTTTCATATTAGCATTTACCACCTAACACAATACCTATTTATTCATTCATTTGTATAGTACCAAAGCTTCACAGAAGAGACACAGTCCACCTTGTTCCCCAATGTATCTCCAGCACATAGAACAATGGCTGATATACGGTTGGTACTTTCAAGATTTGCTAAATGAATGAATTCATATCTTACAAGACAACCTGCATCAGAATTAGGCTTGATGATTATGAAGACCAAAGAGATTATGTCTGCCGAATACATTTCCCCACTGGCACCTACTTTTACTTGTACACAATATTGATAAATTATCCAGTGTCTTATTTTTCTTAATTATGTGAAATATTTGCTAGATTCTCAATTCTGAAATAAGTGTTACCATATTGACAGGTGTTAAGTATGCTGTGGAATTCGCGTGATCAGAAGACACTGAATTCTGGGTTTAGAGGGTGAGGGTCAGAGGAAGACAAGAGCTCTGTCACAACAAATCCTGAAATAACTGCACTGCTTAAATTCTGTATAACAACAGAACCACAAGTTTAAAAATTTTCTTTACTGACAGGTCCAATATGGGCTTTAAAAATCACAGCAGTAGCTCTAACTGGAAAACACATACATATTTTTAGAGATGAGGTCTCACTAGGCTAAAGTGCAATGGCTAATCACATGCATGACCATAGCTCACAGCAGCCTCAGACTCCTGGGCTCAAGGGATCCTTCTGCCTCACTCCCCCTCCCCCCAAGTAGCTCAGACTACAGAAGCACACCACTGCGCCTGGATCGCAATATGTTTAATATAGCTAACTGAACTCCTGATTTCCTTGTTTGTTAACAGAATTTGTACTATAATTCTCCCTGACAGTCAGGATTGAACCCGGAAAACATTTCTACCTCCTTCTTTACCTGCCTGACCCTGTCAGTAAATCCCTTAAGTACTCCCCCACTCAGTGCTTTCTATATCCATTGTTTTCTTTCGAACCTTATCACCACTCCTCATTTCAAACTTTTGCCATTTCGCATGGGCTTCAGCAGATTTTCCAACTTTAAGTCTCTCTCCACTTAAATCCACTTTATAAACTGAGACCAATTTTATTTTCCTAAGTAGTAATGTTAATCAAGTCATTCCTCTGTTCAAAAGTCTTCTAAAGCTTCCCATTGTTTACAGAAAAAAACAGACTCCTTATGGTGTTCAGGACTTTCTACAACAGGGCCTCACCCTACTCTGCTCATCTTTCCCCTGCTCCTCATATGGTTTCCACTGCAGTCAAACATGTACTCTCTAAACAAACAACCCTTGCCCCTTAGTATTCCTGACATTTTCTTTGCAGACCTCGTTGTTCCATTCCTGCCCTACCCTCCTCTTCCCATTCCTCTTTACCTATATTTTTGTTATGTAACTCATTTCAATTCCCTTTTTCTTCCAAAAAATTTTCCTTCATTACCCCAGGCAAAAGTTCTCTGTACCACTCATTTAGCACATATTACCTCTCTTATTGCTTCATAAGTACCCATCAGCTTCCTGATGACACAGAGGGTATCTCACACATTTTATATCTTTTCTTCTTTCTTTAGCACGGGAATTCAATTTATTAAGCAATAAATATGATAGCCAGAATAAGGAGTCAAGTAAGCTATAATATTCATCCCTCCCCACAACACAAACGTGAATGACATAGATATACCTATTTTTCTGTTCTCTGACCTAGGGTGATCCCAGTGGGGTTTCTAATTTTCTGCTTACTCTTCCCCCTCATACCCAGAGTGTCTGTGTTTCTGATTCTGCAATTTAATCTTCAATTCTTAAAATCTCTTTTTGCTTGTTTTGGCAAACCTAACTTTAGAACATACCTCAGTTCTGAGTTACATAGCCAAAGCTTGCTTAGGTGCTTCCCTGTACATATTCTACCTGTTGATCTGGAGAGTAAACCAACTTTAAAAGATGTATTGCTATAAGATCTGGTTAACTGCCTAGAATACTAGTCATAAAACTTAAAAGAGAGATATAGAAAGAAAAAAAAAAAAAACTCACCACAAAAGCTAAGCCCAAGATTTGAGTAGAAAAAATTTTTAAAAGTTTAATCTTTATAATAATCTAAACCATGCAGTTCACTCACACCTAGGAAATTTAAAATCTACTCCAGCTACTTTTTTGTGTATAGTAATACCTTAAAATAGGAAAGAGAATCAAACATTTCTTCAATTTGTTCTGAAGACTGAACAGATGACGATATTGAATGAGATGAATTCAAGGAGTCTTTCTTCATGGTTTTAAATCGAGCATCTAAGAAATCTTCATACTAGCACAAAATGAAACAGATGACAATATCATTAACAGCATCAAAGGCAAAGGTAAGTACAGTAATTATTTACAAGAATAAGACTAATGACCATTGAAGGTCATTATTGAAAAACAGTAACAAGCTTCACTAAACTTCAGAATTTAAGCTTTTGAAAATGTAGTAATACTGTGCCTTTCATACATATTCCTTGAATTTAAAAATACAATTATAAGCTGGTCACATAAAAATCAGCACTGCCTAAACAATAACATAAGGATGAATTAAGAATCTCTTACTAAAGTAAACAAACGCCAACTCTGGATATCCAAGATGAATATACTAAAAAGATTAGTATTTTTAAAATAAAACCTGAAATTAAAAAACAAAAACTGGTCCTTAAGCTGATTACTCATAGATAGTCCAGTGTTTCTAATTAAATAACATACATTTCCTTCAACTGAGGTCCATTTTAAATACAATATAACTCTTCAACAGAAAGCATTCTTTGAGAACTCAGAAGATAAGCTCCTCTAGAATATGTAAGTTTTTAAACATTCTGGGCACCACCAAGTGGTGAAACTGTATATCTCATTGCTTAATTAAGTAGCATACACAGATTTATAATACCTTGCTTAGTATTCTAGCTAAGAATTAATTCCTCCTACTTCTTGAAATTCTTGAACAAGCCCTACACAAAAATTTCAAATGGAAAGTTCTAAGAGTATTTCTGTTTTAAAGCAGTCTTGGATCAGATTGCCAGGAAGTTTAATAGAAAGTCATAGAATTTTAGGGTAGGAAGGGATCTGTACACTTTCCCACCTATTACTTGAATTATTTTGTCAATATTTGTCGTATCATGGCCTAGAGTGTGTCCAAATATCCTTAAGTATAGGAAATATCTCCAGAGAGTCTAATAACATAGTGACAACACTATTATGCCTCTTTATAATGAAATAGTATTTATTCCAAGTCTTTAGAAAAGGGCACAAAATATGGTTTGTAGCTAAATAGGACAAATTATCACTATACAGAATGTACACAGTGATAAGAGACAGCATTGCTACAAAATGTCTTAATTTTTTTTCTCTTTATACACGGGATAAAAATGTTTTGTCTTTTCAACTGTATCTAAATTTCTTCAAGCAGAAGGGCCACATCTGTTAAAAATAAAATGTTAGCAAAGCAATTTAAAATGCTTATCTTAATGACAAAAATGTAACATAATCTTACATAATTTCATCTTTCAATGAAATATATTAATAAATAAAAGTGTAATTTTCATTGCCTAATCTCAAAAGGTATAGATGTCAGCAACAAAGGTAAATTTTAGTATGCCTTTCTAGAAATGCTTTCATTACTTAAATGCAAAGAAAATACATGACAAATATGATTTGACTATTTTTCCTCCTAGCATTCATAATAGGCCAAAGAAACACTATACTTACACTGGAGAGCTCTTTGAATATTTTTTCTAAAGAGAAATACTCCATGAAGGTAGCAAAACCTTCATTTAGCCATAGGCCATCCCACCACTGCATTGTTACCAGATTACCAAACCACTGTGGGGAAAAAACAAACTATTAACCAACATATTTATATCCTCAGGAATTTTCTAATAATTAGCGAAACTGTCAGCTTAATTGCCCATAGCTAGAGTACATAACTAGGTGAGCTCTTAAAAGTACACTGTTCTTATAGTTAAAACAAATTATATTCAAATTAATTTAAAATTTAATAAAATCCATATAAATTTACTTAAAAGTAAAATTAAAAATTTAACATTTTCCCTTAATTGAATGGGAAAACAAGCAAGAAAGATGATTAACATATTTATTTATTAGCATATTTATCAATTTAATAAACATGCTATATAGCATGCTATATGGGGAAATAAAAACATTTTTTAGCCACTATATACAAGTGAGATTTCCTAGATAATGAAATCCTTCTACCTTCTAATATTAAGTTAGTAATATTGCTTTCCATTGTATCTGTAACCATCCATGACAACTAAAAAATAAGTTTCTATGTGAAAGATTTTCCCATAATCAGAGAGCCTGTATGTTTCTCTTCATGTTTCTCTTCAGTTGCCCGAGATGATGACAGTGTTTGCATGATTCAAACTAGAATTCAAATAACATTCTTTAAGAAAGGTGGCATATATTAACATATAAACAGATGAAATCAGAAAGATCTTTAAATGTTTTCTTCTATGAGGAAGTAAATAGAAGAAAAAAATGATCAGAGGCTCTCCTAAAAAAATGCATCTCAAAAATCCTTGATATAAAAAGTTGTCATAGGGTATGCAATTTAGTTGGTGCAGCCTAAGGCTTATCTCAAAGCAGCACCAAAAGGACAGGGTTACTAGATAATAAAACAAAATGTTTTTGAGAATTACAATAGCATATTTTTCTAAAATATTGTCTTAAAACCTGTTTCAGAGGAAGGCAATTTGTAAGTTCTAAAGCAATAACAGAAATATTCCCCAAGTGGTGATGGGTGGCCCCAGAAGTAACAGACCTAAAGGAGAGCCCCCAAAAGATAACTGATCTATAGGACCCATTCATAAAAAAGGAGGTGTTATGAGCCCATATGATTCTCTCTCTCTCTTTCTTTCTCTCTCTCTCTCTCTCTCTCTCTCTCTCTCTCTTTCTTTCTTTCTTTCTTGCAGGATCTCACTCTGTCACCCAAGCTAAAGTGCAGTGTCATCATCATAGCTCACTACAACCTCAAACTCCAGGGCCCAAGTAATCCTCCTGCTTTAGCTTCCTGAGTAGCTAGAACTGCAGGTGCATACCATCATATCTGGCTAAGATTTTCTTTATTTTTCTCCATGTCATATAAAGAATACTCTCACCTTTTCAGAAAACCCCTCTCTCAAATTAATATAGCACTCAGATCCTACAGGAGATGAAAAAATAAATTTAGTGCTGACAACTACAGTTCAAGAGCTGTCAGAAAAGAGTGAAACTTAGGGGGAAGGATCCTTCACCACAAAGTTATACTGAGCAGCTGGCATCTGTCAGAGGTGAAGCAGCTGTGTATTACTGAAAGGAAAAAGATTTAGAAGAGACAGTAGCTCTTCAAGGCCCAGTACTGCCACTTATTAGCTGTGTGACTCTGGGCAAGTCATGTATTTAAGCTGAGTTTGTTTCCACATCTGTAAAATGGGATTATTAGCCACCTGGGAGCACTTGTGAAGTGAGAGAACAATGTTCAAATACCTTACCAGGGGTCCTGAAACTACCGCCCCTGGGGCACATGCGGTCCACCAAAGACATTTATCTGGCCTGCCGGGTGTTTTTGCCGCTGCTGCCTGTCCTGCCAGGCCCACAGTACCCACAGTGCGCATCTGTGGAATGTGCGCCGCACTCTCCAATGGCCCTCCAACGGGTCCGAGGGACAGTGAACTGGCCCCCTGTTTAAAAAGTTTGAGGACCCCTGCTAAACTGTAAAGTCCTATATAAACAATTTGAAAGCATTTTCATCTGAAAATCAAATTTATGTTAAAAAAAAAACATTGTTTCATTATGAAAGAAGGCAATACTAAAAAAAAAGCTGAATAATTATTAGCATCTAAATGTATTCTAGAACTGTACCACTTCGTGTATCAGACATAAGAGCCTTGGTTGCTAATACCTGATGGGCCAGCTCATGAGCGATGATTTTAGTAACCAGTTTTCTATCCGCCACTGAAGAAGTGTTATTGTCATACAGAAGTGTCTCTTCTCGGAAGGTGATCAAACCCCAATTTTCCATTGCTCCTGCTTCAAAGTCAGGAATAGCCACCAAATCTGGACATAACAAGAAAGAAGTGATCAACTTTCCCTCACCTAAGGCACCCTAGTGTTAAATCAAAATATCTTACCCAGCGCTTTATCACTGTGAAGGCAGTGAGTTCTTTTTATACCGCTAATAAATAGAATCTTCCTTATTCTATCTCTGTGTGCTCCTCACCTACCTGCCAGTTGAGGAAACCCTTATCAAACCTCTTTAGAGTCTCTGTTCCACTGTCCCTTAGTGAAGAAAGAGATACCTAATTCCTTCACAATGAATTGACTTCCTAGAGCAAGGAGGACAGAGTGCACGGTCAATACTCTTCTGTCTAGGAACAGCTCCATGTTGAACAGTACTGAAATCCTCCTGCTTTCCTGAGCTTCCATTACTCAGTTTTCCTTACCTGAATCAGGAATTTCTTGGAAGTTAGAATGAGTCAAACTCCAGATTAAGCCCTAAGCAAATTCCCACTTATATAGCACCTTTGTAACAGCCACATAAACTCTTAAGCTCCAAGTTCAGATATGTTTTAGATTTTATGAATTACAACCTAAAACAAACAGTTACAACCTAAAATAATTACAAACAATTTTTAAAGCATTAATAATATTTTTTGGTTTTCTTTTAAAATAACTTGGATAAAATCTCTTTCTAAAAAAACATTAATAAAATAAATCTACATTATAATCATAACAAAAAATCAGAGGGACTGCTTGATTCTTACCCAATTTCTTAAGTGGATACTGAATTTCAAAGTAGTTTTGATAAAACTCAAGAAGCTTCACAGTTGTTTCCAAAGCATGGTGAACTTGACTAATCTTTTCTGGCACAGCATATATAGAAACCTAAAGGGAAACATTATGCATGAGGTAAGGACAAGTACAACTAAATGCCATGATATTCAGGTGAGCACTGTCAAGACCAGCATATCTGATAACTACTCAAGTTGTACAAGATCTTTCAGGATAAAACTCTTGTGTATAGTCTTTTTAGCTCCCAAAGCATTTATTAAGTCCCTCCCATGCATAAAAACATGTTCAAAAAACTTATTCCTTTTTTCTTTTCAACTAACCACACCCAAAATAAATTATTGATACTTTGGGTCATCTTACAGCAATTTATAAGCATTTGCCCATTTAATTTTATGATACTCTTCTCTTTCTCTCCCATTATGTGACATTGTCCTTCTTTACTAATGAGCTATGAATACAGAGAGTTATTTGAAGGACAAAATTAAATTTCACCTCCTTAGCACCTATCACAGTGCCTGGCATCTAGCAGGCACTCAATACAGAGGAGTCACATCTTAGCATGGAGTTTAAAGTTAGCACATAAGGCAGAAATTGCACATTTGTTGAAATTACCCTGGAAAACCTGATTAGAGATCAGCTATTCTCTTTCAGTAAGTAGGACAATGCCAGTTTTCTTTCAGTGCTTGGGACAGCTTTTTTGTTTTTCAGGTGTTAGCTTGTTTTATGGACCACGTGGTATAAAAAATTATCATACAGTGAAACACTCACACTATGAGAGGCCCACAATAACTAAAACCAAGAAAAAAACAGATTCATGTCTCCCATTGTTCATTCATTCAAGGGCACATGGTAAGAGGAAAAGCAAACAAAACCACTCCTATTACTTAAGCTACTATTTACTCTCTTTTTTTTCTTGCTAAATGCATAAATGAAACACATATGATGTGACTAACTATAAACATCTCATTCAGTAAGTACCAAAAGGCAAAATTTAAACAACTGTGTTCAAAACAATGGGCTTTAAAAGGCAATGTTTATTGTTTTCCAATTGATTGAAAAGAGCCCTCTGTACTCACCTGGGAAAGTGGGATATGAACAGTATATAGCAGAATATAAAGACCTCAAAGTGAAGATCTCAGTACGTAGGAAACTTGTTGAGCAATTCATCATTTAGAAAAAGCACATTGGCGAACTCTAACTCCAAATTAATTTTAGTTTCTCATTAAAGGATTAAAAAATTGTCTACAATTTCTAAAAAGTCAAATAGATTTCAAACATAATTCTCTTTATGTGAGGCTTCAATCTATAGAATATATACATTAATCAGAGAAAAATGGAAGTAACATGGCATAAAAGTTAAATGTAAAGAAAAAATTTTTAAGTAAATGAACAAAAAATTAAATATATAGACTCTATAGTTACAGTGCTATAGTTCAAATCTCTGCTATTTGTATGACCTTGAGAGGTTAGTTAACATCAGTTTCTTTCTCTGTAAAATGGTGATAAAAGTAGCTCCTATACTCATAGAGTTGCTGAGGATTAAATGAGCTAATACATTATTAGTGCATGACATAATATCAATAAATGCTAGTTATTATCATTATTACAAATAGACTCTCATCAGAACTGGGGCAAAATATGTGTGACCAAAACATTTGTGGCAATAGTTACTGTAAGAATTAAATATCTAGAATTGGAGTTAATCAATTAAGTTACTTTAGTTGCTTTCTAATGTAACTATGGGAAAAAAATAAAGTAACTATGGCAGAAATGTATTCTCCCATATCATGTGGTCAAGGGTACTTCATCAAGCCAGTCCTCTACCACCTGCAGCCCTTGGTTCAGGGCTGTGACCACAGCTTATTGAATTCAGTCACTAACTGCCAAGGAAACTACAAGCTGATCCTGCTGATGGGTGCATTTACTGCATCTTTCTCCCTTCTACTAAAGTCAGTTTTAGCCTTAAATAAAAAAGCCTGACAGTCTTTTTAAAATCCCTTTCATTTATAAATATACCAAGATCACCTGGAATTTAAGGTAAGTCTTTATCACCTCTGCCTATTCTTTCCAGACACGCATACTTTGTGCATAGTCAACTCAATCATCCAGAAGATGGTATCCCAGCAGAAACACCACCTATACTCCAGATTCCTCCTCAAACATTCTTCTGCCACACATACCATCTGGCCACTCCCATCCTGTATGTGTGAGCACCTTTTCTTAGAGAACAAGTCAGGGGAGAAAAAAGTTGTTCCCATAAAAATGAAATCTGACTGAAGCATCCCCTTATTCCCATCTCTGGAATACAATGATTAGGGGGAAAAAGGCAGTTTGGTATTTTCTTTTCCTTAAAAAAACATGTGTTATGATTCTTACTAGCAAACAATCATCTGGTCATTATATATATATTTTTTATTTATTTTTTAGAGACAGGGTCTCACTTTTGGTCAGGCTGGTCTCGAACTCATGAGCTCAAACGATCCACCTGCCTCGGCCTCCCAGAGTGCTAGGATTACAGGCATGAGCCACCATGCCTGGCCCATCTGGTCATTATAATTATCAAGTTTGTTCTAAGAGCAACAGAACCAATAAGAAATAAACAGAGCAACGTAGCTCAGCAAAGAAAGTCTTGAACAGCATCCTGGGCTTTGTAAGAGTACTCTAAACATTTTTAAAAGTCAATAGGCACTCGGGGCTTAAGATTCACAAATTGAAACTTTTCTTGCCACATCTCTTGCAAAGACCTTATAGAAGATTTCTAAAAACACAAGTATAAAGACCCCTGGTCAGCTCATGGGGAAAAGAGTTCTTTAAGACTGAGGAATAACAGATTTGTTAGGTTTAATTTATCTCTTCCTTAATTTAATAAAAACTAGATAACAAAAGGGAAAAAAAGTAGAACCAAACCTCAACCCCCTAAAAAAGGACAATAATATGGTTTACAAGATTTATAAAGGCAGAAAATATTGGAAGAGTCAATACTCAATTTCCTGAAAAACACAAGCCTTCCTAAGCAGGTAACAGGACACACAAAAAAGCTTAAAAAAAACAAAACCCCAGTATTTTGATACTGTTTCTTTCCAAAATAACAGATTAGATGAGACTTTAGGAGAATGATATAAATTGTGTACAATGTTCCAGGCTGGTAGAAAGATACTTGAGGTAGAAACATTTTTAGTGGAAATTTGAAACAAAGACATGTTTTTAACTAAAATTATAACTTCACATGGATAATACTGTTGAAATTTCTATTTGAACACTGAATGTCAGATGTGTGTGGTCCACATCTGACTAACCATGATTAGATCCTAATTCTACAAATCAGACTTGACTATAGTAAAAACAAAAGCGGCAGTGGCAAAAAACAAAACAAAACAAAAATCTCAAGACAGACAAAGCAGTGTATTTCACAACTGGCCTAGAATTGTCTAGGTAATTCTGGCATTCTGGATGGGAGAGAGAGGTTTAAAGAATAAAGAATGAACAGAAATGATGAAATAAATATTCCTTTCTTTTTAGGTCTTTGACAACAAAAGCAGTCTTTATCACTGAACATCAGGATACATATAAGAATCTATACTCAGCTTTGACATTTTTAGTTGCTTGGTAAGATTGACTTTAGTAAGTAAGGCCCTACTGCCTTATTTCTGAACTTGTTAAATCAATCTACTTGATATTACAAAACAGAAGCCATCTTAGAGATTACAACACTTTGGCATAGCAAAAATCCTTTGTTAGACTCCAAGTTTTGAATTTCTGGTCACCATACCTCTAGAAATTATCTATGTTACCTGATGTATGAGGCAATATATTGTGGTGGACAGAACAACTTTGACTATCACTTACCTATTGGTTATATAATCTTAGGTCAACACTTAACCTGAGACATTGTTTCCTAATAAGCAACATAGGGCTAATGCCTCCTCCTCATTTGGTTTATAAAATGAAAAAAATGTTTATAAATGAGTGCCTTGGACCACTGCCAGCATGATGTATAACTCCACACATGCTACGTCCTTCCCCATTTCCTAAGAAAAAGGGAGGAAATTAATAAAACTATTTGCTTGTATAATATTAATTTTTAAAAGATTTACTACTGGTTAACATTAAAAATAAATATTGTTTACATTTACCGATATGCAATAGATTTTTCATATGGAAATATGGAAAAAAGGGGGTGTGCACTCTCTACATATGTATGTGCATATATGAATGTGTATATATACACAGACACACAGACATGCCAGGTACTAAATATTTTATAAGAATTTTAAAAATTTAATCCTTAATACAGATAATGTAGTCACTGTAGTATTGGAGTTGTGGAAGGTGAGGTTTACGGAAGATTAGAGAGTAGTCTACCCAAGTGGCCAAAGCTAGGAAACTGTGTAGGAGGGATTTCAACACAGGTAGACTCTAGAATCCATGTTTAACCATGTTGCTTCCTAATACAAATAAATAAAAAGCAAAACAAACAACAACAACAACAAACTCACCTGAAACTCCCGTCTCAATCTTTACACACATATACACACACGCACATACACACATATATGCATATATGAGAATGAAATATATATGTGAGTAATGAATAATTCAACTTGGCTAGATGAAAGAATTCACACTGAAGCAATCAGAAATATATCTGAATTTATAAGGAAAGCCTTGAATATCAGAATGATGAGTTTGAATGTAATCCTAAGGTAAATAGAAGACAACACAGTGATGACAGAAACAAAGAGAAGGGGATGGAGAGAGAGAGAGAGTGCAGAAAGAAGAAGGAAAAAAAAAGACAAGACTGCATGCATTTTGGGATACAATAAAAAGTGCTGGGGGTTTTATACCAATGACTGTGATAAGAACTACAACAAAGATGTAACTAAAATACTATGAAAGATCAGAGAGGGAATGATTAATTGTAGCTTGGGGGAAAAAAGCTTCATGGAGGATGGGGTATTCAGCTTAGTCTTAAATAAGAAGCAAATCTAACTCTTCTAGTTTGGGCTTTTTAGGCTTTAACAATCAAGGCTGCAAACTCTAAATCAAGGGCTAAATTTGTGGTGCAACCACTGAAGTGGAATTCATTGAATTATTTCAGAGTTAGGCCAGACTTCATACTCTTTTGAAAGGATTCTTAAAAATTTTTGGTTTAGATCTGACATAATGTCTTTCAGTCCAAAGGTGAGTAAACCATATTTAGCCTTACTGAATGTCATAGTCTACACTTACCATTAAACACTTAGTTCGCTTCTTGAGCAGTGTGCCACCCGTTAGTGTGGAGTGTACAGGCCCAGAGTGCCACCGCTGATAATCAGCCAGAGAAACCTAATCTCTGTCCCTGATTCTGAGAAGTATGGGGTAGACACGACCATCTTTTCTAATATATAGAAATATACCTTTGCTACCTTCTGAAGTAGCAAAATTCTAAGGCTTTGCTTATCATCTTGAGATTACCATAAAAAGCTCTTTAGTCTAGAAAGTAACACATCCCAAAACTAGCAGAATGTGTTCAAAAGGTAGATAATTTTCCCTGGTGGAGATCAAAAATACAGAAATAAAGTAAATAAATTTGATCATATTACTATCGTGAAAAATAATCACTTTTAGCTTTAAAAGAATCTTTTCTCCTATATTGTCAGTACATGAAAATGTTAGCTTTATTAGGTCTCTACTATGAAATGAAAGCATATAATCCAATCAAATAATCATTTACAGACAGGTACCAATGACACAGAAAAACAGAGCTGCCTAATTAGAACAAATGATCAATTTTGGCAAAACAGATAAATCCCACCCTTATGTTAAATAATCTTACTCTGAAATAAAGAAACTCAAACAGAATTTGCTTTTTTTAGGAAAGAAAAAAAGAAGGATTCATCTAATTTTTACAACCTAGAGCTATCCAACATGGTGGACACTAGCTACATGAGCACTATTGAACAGTTGAAACTTAAGACTGAGGAAGTGAGTTTTACATTATCTTTAATTTAAATTTAAATCAAAATAGTCACACAAAACTAACGGCCACCATATTGTATAGCAATAGCACAGTTCTAAAAGCTTTAGTATACATACATTGTCTTACTAGAATTCTCTTATAAAAGTCCAATTAAAAGAAACTTGAAAATTTACTTTCAGGTATTAAATTAATAACAGTAAATAACAGCTAAGGGAAAAAGTAGCATTTCTGGAATAAAATGTCAGAGTGTGATCTAACAGCTTGTTTTCTTCAGAGAGCAACTACCAGGAATCATTACAGTGAGAGTTCCTCTTAATGTCTTGTGCAACAAACTTTTAGGCAATTACCACATCAACATACCAGGGTTCCATTTACATCCTGACTCAGGTTCTTCATCTCCCCCACAATGAAGGCAACTAGGTAAGTGCTCATCTTCACACTCTCAGAAAACTCATCCTGAATGAGTCCATCTTCCATAAGGACTGATGACTTCTACAAGCAAAGGGCAAAAGACGGCAGTTCTGTAACTACAGGAATCAATGACAACGACAAATAAATTGAAAATTCAAATAGGAAATAAATAGTGGAAGGTACTAGCATATTTTAATCTCTCAGCATGAGTTTCTGGGGACAGCATGGCCCTCAGTCTCAGCCCGTTCTACCATCCTTCATAATGAGGACACGCTGAGTATGCTGGAAATCCTTAACGAGTTTTTAGTCTGAAAGTTTACTTTAAATAAATGTAAGTTAGATATGATAACAGTGGTTCTGTCTCTCTCCTTTAAAACACCAAAATCCAAATCCAAAAGCCAAAACCAGAATCCTTCCTGATGGCCTGGGAGTGTTCCACTGCTACAAATACATCCACACATGAAGGAGCCACAGCTGGGACATCCCTCCAAGCCATCTGAGATGGCTTCACGGACTGCCATGCTGAGGATCCGAAGGCGGCTTATGGGATCAGAGGTGGTAAGTCACTAGAGAAGTCTGCAGCAAACACAAGATGAGGGAATGCAGCAACCTTGCAGGATTTTCCAACCATGAATTAAGATATGTTTTGGGATATTAGTTAAATAGGCATCCACCTCTCTTAGAGAAAGATAAAGGTGAAGAGTATGGTTGGGAGTGAAGCTCTGGAATGACGACCTGTTTAAGAACAGACCATGCTCTCTGCTGCCCACAAGGGTCTGCTGTCCACGGTCTGCTGGATGTGGCTGCTCCTCTCCCCTAGCCACATGTGCTTCAGGAGGCTGTGACCAGGCTGCACAGAGCCACTCAGATGTCTGAGACAAAAGAAGGACCTCCTAGGTTCTGTTTGCATAAAAAGGGTTCTATTTGGTTTCACCTTCACTGCCTCCCACACAGAGCTAACAGCCAGGAAACAGGCTCCTATCTAGTTGTCAGTCTCCACATTACTTAAAACAATATTATTGATTGTTCATTTACCAAGAAAACACTCAGAACGATCATGAGGCAACACTATCAAATAACACTGTCTAAAATAGCAAACTTACCCATTCTCAGAAAATATTATTCCAATCTTGGACCAGTTCATGGTATTAATATTTGCTTCTTGGGTGACTTCTCAATTGCTCCCAACACATATTTTAATTTTTATTTAAGTATTTTAAGAAAGACTATTAATGTATATGATTTTATGATTTTAATCATTTCCAACAGTAGCTTGGCAAAGAGGAAATCAAGTGTTCTTAAAGAGACTCACTCAAAGATTTTACATTCAGGGAACAGAACTGTACCTTAGGCATATTTGATAAAGCAGTATATTGTTCATCCCTTACGATCCTGATGATAAATGTGGCTTTAAATGCTGGTTCATCAAAACAAGGAAAAGCAGATCTTGCTGCCAGAGGTTCAAACTGAGTTGCAGCGAAGTACCTAAAACAAATGCAAATTCAATCTAACAGTTATCGAGTACCTACTATACAAGGCACCCTGCAAAGTTCTAGGGATACTAAGATAAATACAGTACAATCCCACTCATTAAAGGACCTGCAATCAACTGGGAAAGGCAGAGATTTACACAATGGACTGAAACTTATGCCAGGCTGCAAATCATGTCTTAATAATGAAAACAACTTAGTGGGAACAAAGGGAAACAAATTCTGACTAGAGGTTGAAGACACTGCAAAGCAACCTGTACAAAATCTGAAGAGGGTCTTAAAAGATAAGCATTTGAAAAAGCAGAGAAGGGAAGAGAGCATACTCTGGAAAGAGTAGGTAGCACAGGGAAAGAGAACAGTGCATGTCCAGGGACTGGGGGTGGTTGTCCAATGTGGTTTGAGATGAAGCCAGAAGGTAGGCTGCAGCTGGCCACTGAAGTCTTAAAACGGTTTCTGATGAAAGATCAGTAAAGACAACGGTCATCAGTCACCAATAGTCATCTGCACAGACTCTGGCTTCAAAACACTACGCCTCAAATTCACAACTTGTGCTTTCATGAAGACTGAAAAAGCTAGGTGACCTGTTGTGTTCTCGTTTCCTATACTCTTTTAAGAGATGAATCAAAAATTTTCCTCCCCCTTCTAAAGCACAGCAGAAACAGTTGAGAGAAACACACACACAAAAAAAGTCCTCAATCACAGGTTGAGGGAGAAAGCATAAACTGAAACAGGGAGAAAATGCAGATTTTCAATTAAGTAGAGAAATAAAGCATATCTGCATTTGGGAGATCGTCCAAACATGGCCATAGAGTAATGAGGGCAAGCATGGCCTGGTGTGCATACTTCAGGTGCCAGTCAATATGGCATAAATACAACTACCACTTTGGACATGGCAGTTTCTCTTGATCTGGGCTTAGTTTCCACTGTTAGAAGATAAATAGAAAAGAAACAGTATTAGATTTGGAGTAATAAAACCCAAACTCTACAATTTACCAGCCATATGACTTTGGGCATATCAGTGACCTACATCTTGCTTTCCTTCTTCGTTAAATTAGGATTGAGATAGGATCCCCTGACAAACACTAGGGTTTTTGTTAGAATCAAACAAGATTATTCATAATAAAAACCACTTGTATACCACAAAGCCCTTTGTGGATGTTTACTGCAAATGTGAGGCAGCCATACTCCTATTCCACACTTAAAATTGTTGTACTTTTTTTCTGATAAGAATGTGCCCAAATAACTATTTCTAATGGTTAAACTTCAAGAAAGGTAGCGATCAACATACATAAAACAATTGAAACATATTATGTTTCTAACATTCCATTTCTTCACCCTATCCCCAACATTCTTACCCAGGTAACAGAAGATTTTGGAAGAAGGCGACATGGGCCCAGGGGATAAAGTTTAATGATATCCCCACTATACATGTAAGAGAGCCTACTTAGACCATCACTTTTGGATAAAAATTAGATCATAACACTCCAAGATAAATAAAAACCCACTGTTAAAAGAGATCCAATAATAGCTATCCCATATAAAAATCCTGGAGAAGGCTGCTGCTTGATGATTCTTATAACCTGTCTTATCTATGCCGAATAACTTGAAGCTTATTCTTTCATTGGTGAGTACCAGCACTTCTTCAAGTAGAGCTGAAGACAATGACAAATTAGCTAGGGGGTCAGGAAAGAGAATTCTGAGCACTGGGGATAACAATGTGCAAAGTGAAAGAGGTGTGCACCAGGGAGGCAGTACACCGTGGTGGTTAAGAATGTGGCCTCTAAAACAACCTTGGATTTGAGTTCTCCTCTGCTATCTGCTAGCCAGGAGATGCTAGATGAGTTCCTTTATGTGCTTCTGCTTTCTTAGCTATAAAATGAATTAATACTAATATCTACCTTAGTGGGATTGACAGGATATATTTGGAACAGTTTTTAGCACGTTAATTCCCAGTAAATATTGTCTATTAATATCATCTGATTTTAGGAACATGTACACGAAGTTTAACATGGCAGGTGAAGGCTGGGAGAAAAAAACAACAGCCATATGATGAAAGGTCTGTTGGAAATGAGGAACAGCTGAAACACAGTGGCCATCCTAAATTTGTTTACTTGTTTAGTATCAGTTTGTTATCAACAACTTCTAGAATTAATTCCAAGGTTACTGTCTCCACCTTACATCACACAGGTAGAGAGCTCCCTTACCCTAAGCAGTGTCAATGCAAGATATCTGACATTTACCTATACTCTGATTTTCCACCAACAAGGACTATATCCCTTAATTACTTCATCTACCATTTTAAATATTTATTCTAATTATACCTCAGAGGGAGAAAAAAAAGTATAAAAACTTCTCTAATAGAACTAAGCAAAATTAAACGTGAAAGACAAAAAAAAATTGATTTGAATTATAGTTTTCAGACATCCTGAAAGGTATAAATAATCTTCTAAATTTTTACCTTGCACCAACATACACAATTATGTGGGGCATTCATTTTACTGAAACAGGTAGGTTAATGAATTTATATTTTGTGATAGCAGAATTTCACAAATTTATTTCAAAATATTTTAAAATATTATTTTTTAACACCCTATCTCTTAATTTTAAGAAAACATATTCCATTTTTCTGGCATTTTCTACAACTCAGTCCAGCCCGTGGTAGGAGTCAACAAGTGGTCATGCCAAAAATCAACTACGCTGCTATACAACACTCATGCCTCCCATTATACAGGAATAGGTCCAAGGAGTCCAGAGGCAATAATCTGGTTGAAGAGATGGCTAGGGGACTTGTCTTAAAGGTCTGTTTGAATACTAAGAACACTGTTTTTATGTATATCCTGAATTTCCTAGGGATGATGGAGATTAGAGGAGGAGGACGAAAGCGGAAGAACCTCCAAGTGGCCATTGTGATTATAAATTTGTGCTCAATGCCAGATTTCATGTGAGAATTGAAGTGATGATCGAGCATGACATTTATTTTAAAAGTATTACATAAAGGAAAAAAATAAAAACCACTTATCTGAAAAAAGAGCTACAGATCTTGCTTTGCTTCTGTCCCAATTTAAGAAGGATCAAAAGGTTCCCTTAAGATGGATTTAAAATACTCATTTCTAACTGTTTCTCTTAATACATCAACATATACCAGCCAAATAGCCAGCATCAGTAATTCACATACTGGTTTACAGAGTGGTATACGAGCATGTTCCAGCTGCATAAAGCAGATACAATGAGGACTTTGTGCACACAAGAGAATTGACATTATTTCTACTTAAGAAAAACTTGTACATAGTGTATACTGAATCTCCCCAGAAATTCAAACCACATGCTATGAATACTAAGATTAAAGTACAAAATATATGGTCCAAGTAGGAAGCTGAATAATTTTATGCTTTGTTTCACCTTTTTTTTTTTTGAACCAAATTAAGTCCTCTACACCTTTTTTAAATTTCCATCAGAAATCTAAGAATTTTTTTTAAAAAAATAAACCAGTAAAGGTTAAGCATACTAAAAATGGTATGTATAAGCATACCCTTCTTCAACTTCATGCCCTTTCTCCATCTCACTAAGCACCACCTAAAAGTTCTTCACATTAAGAAAACAGGTCTTAAATTGTAACCAACCCATACTGCCCTGTACTCTGCTTCCCATAGAAACTGTATGAGGTGACAGAAAACTAGATTCATCTTGTAAAACATGAAAAGCTCAAGATAATCTAAGTTTTTTTTTTTTGTATAATCTTTATCTACCTCCTTCCACCAGCACACCCAACCCCCCCCCATCCCACCATGACATACGCTCAAGGCTTTGACTAAGAGAAATAGTATATCCCTCCACACCAACATTCTACTATTTTGTACATGACTTTCTAAATTAAAAAAAATTACAGTTAAGCGTCTTTTGTGTGGGCACAGGGATCCATATTGCAGAAGTCATCACAGAGCACAAAACCATAATTATTTAAGAGAGCTACATACTTTTTCTCATTATGTTCATCTGTGTAGGAGGTGCCATAAAACCCATAGTAAGAACTAGATATGTTTGCCGAATACTCTATCTTCAAGGTATAATTGTGCCCCATTATAAGGGCCTCGGGGGCAACAATAGCAATTTGTTCATGAAATGGATATTCCAGGATCTCTACTTGTTTTTCTTGGCTTGAAAATGCTGACATAAAGGTCACTCTTGAAATATTATGACCTGTGCTATGAAGAACGATATTCCACGTGGCCTGAAGAGCCTGAACTGAAATTGCCACAGAGCCCTTGAATGTCATCGAGGTTAGGTTTGGGCGTAGGTTAAGTTCATAGCGTAGTGGCATGATGGCGGTGGGAAGCCTGATCTGTGCCCATGGAAACAACTTCCCATTTGTTGCAAATGGCTGAATTAATTTCATTGGTTGGTTTTTTTTATGGCAGCCTTCTTTGGTAAAGGTACATCTGGGCAGTAAGTAAATCACCATGATTACAGAAATAGCAACCACGACGACGAAAGCACAGACCACGAAGGTCCTTGCAGACGGCACTGAACATGCCCCGTCTGGGCTCTGCCGGTAGCCAGTTGCACTGTTCCGAAGGCCTGAGCTTCTATTCATGAAGGACATGCCCAGCAGCTTTGCAGATGACTCGTAATCCTCTTCATCCTCGTCCATCTCATGTTCACCAAGACCCCGCACCAGCAGTCGGGAACCCCGGGGCTCATATTCCACCTCATCAGGCTCTAGAGGGTGTAAACAAGGCTCTTTGGCTAAATCCACTACATCTGGTTCTTCCTCAAACATGCTGTTTTCAATCATATTCCTGGGGAGCTGAAGCCGATCTAAAAAACCAAAACATAAGGACAAGGAACAGAGTTAGAAACAAAGCTCATAATAACATGTCTTCTAGCAAGACCACATTTAATCTAAGAACTTTCTTTAAATCACTAAGACTTATTTCCATCTCAGAGCAAATGAATTAAAGCAGATGCTTATAATATGCTTGAATCATTCATTAAAACTCAAACATAAATAAAAGTATACCAGTCATGAAACAAGAAAGCTAAACAGGCTAGTACCAAAAAAAGACAGCTGAGATTATGTACTAATTTCCTTACACACTCCTGCCCAACAACCTGGGACCTTGTCCAGGGCTTTAGATGGCCCTGCTGTGGCCTGCCTCTGGCTGTGTCTGTCCCCATGGGGTGAGGAGTCCGTAGGACCAAAGGGATGCACCCACCTACAGACGTTATCCTCTCTGGGCTTGGGGCACTTGGATACCAGAATTTCTCCCCAAAAAGCCTCAAACCTGTTTCAAGGGCATTTGTAGGTCTCTTCCCTGAGTCTCACTTTCCCTAGGCAACACCACAAACTAGTATGCCCATTTTCTATGCTTTAGTGGTAGCCAAGCAACCATAGGATATTGTTTCCCCCGGGAGAGGGATGTTTCCTTCCCACAGCAAACTGGAAGTAGCAAATTATGCAGGAAGTTTTCATAAGCAAGAAATAATAAGGATTAATAAGACCAAAAGAACATAAAAATTAGATAAACCTATAATTCAACCTGTTTTTCACACTTCCATAGCATTCAGAAGTACAACATAGTCCCATCTGTAACAACTACACTATAGTATACACCATGAGTGTTAATGGATCTTGGGGTGAGGTAGTGGTGGGAACTTTTATAAACTACAGAGAATCACACCTTCCAATTTGCCAAGAATCACTGAGAATAAAAAGACTCACAAAGTAGAAGGGTAAATAATCCCACATGTATCAATAATTCCTATGATTAGACCATCTTTATTTAAAATTCATAGAATTTTAGTTTTTAAGGAATCTCAAGTTATCAAACTGAAAACCATTAACCTTTCCCTTCAAGGTACTTTTATATATATTGTTTCTAACCATCACAACAAGTCTATAAAGTGGCAAGTATTCTAACTATTTCAGACATGAGAAAATGGAAAAATTAAAATGAGTTAATTATCTTCATAAAGTGACACAACTATTTAGTCATAAAACTGATATTGGAGCCCAGGTCTAAAAATGTGATTCTAAAATTTAGGCTCTTTTCATTATTATATTGTATCCCCCTACTCAAACTAATTCAATAAAGGATGAGGACTTGTACCCACATTATTTATTTTGTACCTGGCAATGAAACTGCTAAGAGTATTATTTCACCATCAGCAAAGCTTACATAAGACTACTTAGTACCTAGCTTAATAGAAATGCCACGTATCTGCACTATTCAATAAACTAAACAGTGGCAGCCCATGATCCAAACAACAAAGTATTCATAAAATTAGGATAAAATTCAGTTTTGCTACTTAAAATGTGGCGTGTGGCCTGGGGCCCAGTAGCATTTGCATCACATTGTAGCTTGTAAGAAAAGCAGACTCTCACGTACCTTCTCTAAAGATGAATTTTAACAAATCCTCAAATGATTAATGTGCACTGAAGTTTGAGAAGCACTGGTCTAAGCACCCTTTTTAAAAGGTAGTAAAGGTCAGACCCCCATGAGCACTAATGGTGCCATTCTTGGGTGTGCTCTGGCCATCCCAAGGTGCTTACCTTTCATTCTCAGAACAAGCCATGCTGCTATTTCATGCTGTTTTCCACATGCCTTTTCCCCTCTCTGTTCCCTCTCCCCAGAATGTCATTATTTCCCCTTCTCATCCCTGTCCACCTGGTAAACACCTGCTATTCCACAACTCAGCTTAACCTGCTACAATATGATTTAAGAAAAGTTATCTTTTTGTGTTTGTTTTTCCTTTCTCTTTACCTTTTAAAAATAATTTCATGTCACTCACCCATTTATGCTTTGGAGATTAGACAAATCACAATAAGGTTGCTTTTTCCTGCCTCCTCTCTACCCTGAACTTCGTACAAGTTACGCTTCTTATAAAAGTTTTATTTGAATAAAACTTTTAATCATTTTCTAGATGTAGGTTTAGCAAGCAGCCATCTATCCAGCCCTGTGAGAGGTCTGGAATGGAAGAAGGACATCCTGATTTGGGGAACTTAATCTCCTAAACTTCCATTAGTGTCCCAATTTCTTGTGACAAGTTTGTTTTGGTTTTTGATACTTAATTGTTTTGGGGTCATGCACTTCATTAACAAAGACTGCTGCATTTGAATTTTTGTTTAAATTACTTTTAAGCTTTTAATGGTTAGAAGTTTTCTGCAGTAGTTTTTTAGACCTTGGCACAGTGCTGTAGATTAGTTGCTTAATTTCTTTCATTTGAAAATATCTAAAAGGCCTTGTTTTTCCTCCTTACTGTACATGGGAAGATTGCCCATGTGATTTGTTCTATGTTAGACCCAAGGCAGACAACAATGGGTTCTGGACAGTATGGTTTTACTTAATAAATTTCTAAACTAATTCTGGATAGAATCTCAGCTTACTATTAAGAGCATTCCCATCCCTGAATTCTGTACCCTTAGAACTTTTTTGCTGTTTTTTTGATTCTTCAGCCATGCCCTACACAGGCTGGGGATATTCTACAGTCTAGCCACTTAGCATGGCCTGTCTGTACTTCATTAACTTCAAATTTTCTGACAAGGGCTTAGTCACATGCCTGCCAAAATCCAGACAACTGACTTTTATTATTAATGCCCAGTCAGAAGAATATCTATGTAAAATATTAAACTTTCAAAAATGGAACACATCAACCATCTGCTATATTCTACTGCACATGAGAAGCACACTTTTTTTATATGAGAAATCATATCAAGTTAAATACATCAAATCAGGGGAAATCACTTTTGTTACAGCAGCCCACGAACACTGTACTTCAAGTCTATTTAAGAAATGTCAGTTTGATTCTTAAGTCAGTGTGCTTTAATTTCAGCATTAAATTGTAATGGGACACACGGCTATCCCTTGCTCTAATGGGATATACTCCTACTGAAAGAAGGGATCCTAAAGAAACAGGGAATTTCCTAAAAACCTCTTAAATCCACATATACAAGCTAACTATAAGCCAAAAGCAAAAAACTTGCTAGTTGAAATATTTCAGTTTTAAATAACATAGGCCCATGTGGTTATCTAAGAAAACCGAAGACATTTCTTTTCATCAGATACTGTGAACTGGTGCTCCTCATGTCATTTGTGGACCAGTGCCAGTCTGTTTGTCACCCATCTGTGACAGGACATACATAGAAAATTAGTGTCCAAAAACTTCTGTAACAATTTGATAATTTTATGTCTGTTGCATTTAATGTTTAAAACGGAAAGCTTATATTTTGCATTTCTTTTTTCATTTCAATTTTTAAATGTTTTTTTTTTTGCATGCTACAAAATTCCTGCAACAGATTAAAAATTAAAAAACAAAAACAAGAAACCCTGGTTCTTCGACTAATTTGAGAAGCAATGGGTTGGTTGAGATAAAGTTCTTAACTGTGACTGCAGCAGTGGAAATGAAGAGGAGGGAATGATTACAAGTCAGGTTAAAGAGGGAGAATGCACAGGAACTGATGCTCCCTTGGACTGGATGGGATAGTAGGATAGAGAGAGAGAGAGAAAAGTCTATGTCAATTCCTTATACATGTTCTGGCTTGGATAACTGGAAGGAGGAATATCATTCAGAGGCTGAGGAAAGAGAACAGGATTATGAGATGGCATTCAGTATGGGATATGAGATATTTGATACACCTGTCAGACAACCAGATGGCGATGTTTGATTAATAGAGTTAAAGACCTGATTTTAGATGGAGGTTAAAATCATGTCTCTTTCAATGACTGCTTGATCTCAAACAGGTTCCATCTGTTAGCCTCAATTTCCTCACCTAAAAATGTGGAAAACAGTACTATTTAATAAGATCATCACTAAAATTATGCCATGTGGGTCTAGAGCTCAAAAGAAGTATTTGGAAGATTCAGATTTCTGAATAACCGGGGTATGTGTGATCATTAAAACCATGCTGATAGGAGAGAGTGCTGAAAGCGAGGAAGAGTCAGGGATCATCAGCACTTAAGAGGTGAGTCGGCAGAGGAAGGGGGGCAGCTAAGTAGAATGAGGGATGGACTAGACTGGTAGGAAAATCAGGCGAGCAGCATCCTAGAAACCAAGGGAAGGTTTCATGAAGAAGGAAGGGGCCACTATTAAACATCTTAGAAAGGTCAAGTAAAATGAGGCCTAGAGAGAGTGTCCCTTACACATGGAACCAGTGACTTTTATGAAGTGCTTTCAGTAGAGTAGTGGGAGTGGAAGCCTGATTCCAGTGGCCCAGAGTAGGGATAGAAAGTTAACAAGAGAAAGCAAGGGCTGCAGACTATTCCTTCAAAGTACATAGCTGTTTATCGAGGAAAAAACATGGGGGCAAACTAAAAAAAAAAAAAAAAATATGGTGTAAAGAAGAGTTAAATCTTTTGTTTTTTATTTGTCTGTGTTTAAGATGGGAACACTTTATGCATGCATTTCTGTGGGGAAGGAAAAGTCTAGACAGACAAAATGTGGAGGTGGAGGAGAAGAGGGAGAACGCTATCTCAGAGGATTAGGGAGAGATCACAAAAACCCCAGCGAAGGCATTAACCTTGACGGAAGCTAGGTGTGTTCTTTCTGCAAACCTGCAGGACAGGAGGTAAAGACGCATGAGTCTGAAACAGCAGAGAGCCTTCATGTTCTCTGTGACAGTGGAAGCAAGGCCATATGCCCAGAGCTAACGGCAACTGTGGAGAAGAAACAGGGTCTCGTAGAACAATAAGGGACAGATGCCACGAGAGAGGACCAGGGAGTAGTCCGCGGACAAAGTGTGGCTGAGAAGCTCAGAAAGCCTGGTGGACTTTGTCACACCACGAGTCTCTGTAAACATCTTAGCAGTGCTTACCAGCTCT